TATTCAAGCCCTACTCCTGTCACCTGAATATATTCCACATTTTTTTACTCATATATTTATGAGGCATTCTCTCACCCCTTAAATATACGTCAAACGACACACACACACACACACTTAACACCACTGTATTTATGATGCATATGTAATGCAGCGCAAACATAATTTATTTATGCTAAATAATAACACAGATAATAACAATAATATTTCAGATTTAATCACATGAATAATAATATTCACCCAACTTCAAAATAATATCCACGAAGAAACATCAAATAATATTCACCGAGCAAAGCAACAATAATATTCATATTTATAGCACTATATCTAAGCACCAAGATTAAAAGGGATATAGCCTAATCATCGGGAAATCATGAAACCCTAACTCATGTCCAGCTAGCTAAAGTACCAAATTTACCCTTCGGGGATTCTCGGAGTTGTTGAATCTACACTTTTGATCCAATTCCTGAACAAATTCAAATCCAAATTATTATTGAGCAGTCTTCGCTTTATTTCACCTAAGTCCAACCTCAACCTTATGCATTTCAAAGATTTTTCATAAAAATGGTGAAAATGCCCTTAGGACCAGCCCGAGGTCCAAAGAGGCCAAATCTTGTCCAAAATAATATAAAACTCTGTCCTATGCCCTGTCAACACCGAAACAAGGCCAACTACACCCGTTATCCAAAAGTTACCATTTGGGTCTCATGGGCACCACAACAACCCATACTTTGCACCACCTTGGATTGACTCAAAACATAAACCATTGGACTCGGATAGAGAAATAGAGTCAATTGGAGTAAAAATATGGGTCGGAGGCTGCCGGAACAGCAGCCACACGTCGCCACTAGCAGGAGCTGCGAGTGGGCTTGTTTCCGATTACTGTTCATCATCTTCCAGATTTAAAACCCAAACTTTGTGAGACATTTTGAGCAGCCAAAAGGTAACAAAATTGGGCAAACTTGTAGTAATTTGAAGCTTATTATCTCCAGTTTCTAACCCAACAAACCATACTCAAAACATAGCTAAAACGAAGGAGAAAACTAGCTCCAAAGTTGGACTCGTGGCTGATTTTTCTGCAGAAAACATATTTTTTTCCAAAATTTGCACATGTGTTTGACGTATCAAACCTCAACCAAATTTGCCAAGTCTAGTTTAAAACCCAATAAATGGCTTCCTCAAACACTCAAAGGATTGGGAGAAAAAGAGAGCCAAAGTGAGGCTCACGGACTGCAAATTTCCATATTTGGTTCCAAGTCATTTTCAACCATTCTATGACTTCCAAGTTATTCTTAAGGCTTCTAAAACTCTTCTAAAGTTCGTACCTATATTTAGAACTTGTCAAAAACTCAAAATGGAACCAAAATCATAAACATCCACACTTGAAAAATTGCTCTATGCACCCAATCCGAAAATAGAACTTCAAACTCTTCCAATTCAATTTCCCCGTCACTCGAATGACTCAAAATACTCTTTAAGGGACTAGAAACAAATTACTCAAAGTACTCTTAGTTTATGCAATTAATATCCTTAGCTTAGACTAGGTGGCTCACCTCCAATAGATGAACAACTCATCTCAAAATCATATTTTGAAGAGAATGTAAAAGGGAAGGGGGGAAGAATGAAGGGAAGAACAATGGCTTGCTTACACGTTGCTTTTTTATTTATTTTATTTATTTATTATTATATATTTTTATTTTTATAACTCATAATTAAGTTAAATAAATTTTAAATTTTTTTTTCCTAGATGTTACACAGTGCATGACCAAACAGAACAAAGGAGGCATTGCAAGATGATCCTTTCACTGTTTCCACTGTGCACTCAATGGCGTCATTAGTAGCTCATTTGTCGAGGAGAAGGTCTCGTAGCTTACGCCACTGGCTGTTTAATTCATTTTGTTTGAGGCTCAAATAATCAATTGTAACTTTTACTTTCAGGGACTAAATACGTCCTAATTTTCTCAATGAATCAAGTAAGAAGACCACACAAAGCCCTGAGAAAATGGTGCCTCAATTCTTCACAAAAGATCTCAAGTAGTTTGCTCTATCAACTCACGCACAACCATTCCAACCAACCCTTAGTAATGGCACATTAAAAAAAATATATAAAAAAATTAAGGGGACCGCCGAAAACATGCCCTTCTCTATATAGCAACCGGAAACAGACGAAGGGTCAACTGCATGGGTAGTTTATGGTGTTGGCTCCTCACGTATTATGAGGTTTTCACAAGAGTTCTTAACCAATGAGGGTGGCTTTCCCTTATTCAATCTGCTGTATAAGGAGTGTAGGTGATCCACCATCATGGACGGAGGATCGATTGGTGCCATGACAGAGCTCATTGAATCGCAAACCCCTGCAAAAAAAAAGAGGGGAAAAGGTAAGAGACGAGCACGCAAAAATAATATTCAAATAATCCCTATGTACCAACCAGAGCAAGCTATCTCACGCCAAGGGAAATGCCTAAACAAAATGTGGCCTAAACAAAATATGGAGCATCATGCTATTTATTACTCAATCCGACCGACAATTCCAAGCAAATTTCTCATTCAATGCTCGGCCGACAATTCCAGCAGCACATAAAAAAATCAAGCATTCCAGACCATGCATTTTGTCTATTTCCTAGTAGCAGTTTTCTTGCAAGAGAAAAAAGAGCCTAAGAATCAAGCAAGCGTCTTAAAAAATAAGCCTAGGCCAAAACACCAGGACACATCTAGCCCTACAAAGAAAAATCCATAACCTCAGCAATCAGGAGGAACTACTTACCAAAAGACTAAGGCAAGAGTTCAAACACCTAAACTGTAGAGTTGGACATGCTCAAAGCTTCCAACAGCAAGAAATTCGACAAAGTTCCAGCACCACCCTTCTTATTCCAAGGACCTATAAGGAATCGATCAAAGCTTGCTATCCCTCAATAGATTCAAAAGTAGGGAAGGAAGAGGGCAATCCCTTGTTTCATGAGCTGGCTTCAAACGGACAAAGAAGGTAGAAATTGGGGATTTTGGAAGAGAAGTCCACGCAAAGGCAGAGGTGATCCCCTCCAGTAGCTATAGGTGGGTGCGAGGAATGGCGAAGCTGGAGTTTAGTTTAGGCTCCCTTCCAGTGGCTGTAGATGAGTGTTTCTCCTTGCTTTTGTTTTCTCTCACTCTAAGTCGCTCGAAGAAGGAAATGAGAGAGGAGGGCTGAGAAAAATCCTTCACACGCACCCAAAAAAAAGGGTGAAAAGAAAAAGAAAAATTAGAAAAAAAGGGAGAGAGAAGTTTGCAATCACAGGAATACTTAGGAAGAATAAACGATTGTTGGAAGATCATCATGACATGTCGTCATCATACACGCGGGAGGAGAAAGGTCGAATCACTACCATGGATTTGATTTTTGGGCTGGGGTTTGATTATTCAGCTCATTTCAGTAACCCTCCATAGCCCCAATAATCAAGGGGGTTAATGTTGAGGACCAAAAAATCCAAAGGAAGGCCCAAATGTTTTTCAAGCCCAATGCAACACTTCATTGAAAAAGAAGCCCGATTGGAGTATGCAAGGATTTGTCATATGTGCTTACACAAGCTATGGTCTAAGCGCCTCGCCAAGAAAATATGCAACCCAGCATGTAGGGAGGTTGCAACAAGCCCTTAAAGATGTACTGGTTTTGTGAACCTATGTCCATTGTCCTATCAAGCACCATTTAGCCCAGCCATAGCCCATTGCAAAATGGCTAAGGTCGAGCACAAACACACCAAATAACATGCAACGCTAGGCCAAAAACCTTTATTTTGGTGCCAAACCACGTGACAAGCTTAAGTGGACCCAAGCTACTTGAACGCCTCGGGCTTGCTGAGCGGGTTGTGGTATGGATGATTACGAGTATCCACGAGGCCTAGTGATGGTTCAAGGAATGGAGATTTTGGGCTGCTTGGAAGCACCAAAATCTAGGCCCATTTCTTGAGCCCAAGCACATAGGTAAGCATGCTAGAGAAAGAATAAATCCCAAACACCCTTTAGAAACCAAACCAAAATCAGACTAGCCCTTTGAAACCAAACCATGCTCCAAGGAGCATGTTCTTATTGATACATGAGCCACTGGAAGTGAAGCACCCTTTAGACCACCAACTTTATCTATTTTTTCCTCTACAAGCTCGTGTAAAGAACAAGGCAGGAAAGGGGGAGAAAGCATTGCCAAGGATGGAAAGTGTTGCAGAGGCCAGCTGCAAGAAGACTTTGGAGCTCCAAAAAACCTTGTCCCAGTGTGCTTTGATTAAGCAAGTTTCACTTAAAAGGGTTGAATTGGAGGAAGTGAAGGGAAAAGGGAGAAGAAGACTTGGCAAAATTAGGGAGAACTAGCTAGGGTTTTCTGGAAATAAGGGGGCTTCCAGTGCCTACGAAAGGAGGCACCTACTAACCATCAACTCAACCCATCCAGAGTGAGCAAGCAATCCCTTTGCTCTATCTCTCTTCCTTTATAAAAAAAATCCCCATATTTTCCTTTACCATTTTTCTAAGTCTCTGTTTTCCTAAGAAATTTAGGCTTTTCTCTCTCTCTATTGCTAAACTCATGAACACTTAGCTCTCATGCCACTATAGTTGGTGAAAGAGACCAAGGCACTTTCTAAGGATCCACAAACTTTCGGAGTGCTTTGGGGTTTGATTTTGGAACTCAAGCAAAAGGGGTGACATCATCCACTATCTTTACAACAGCGCAGGCCTATTTGGAGCTATCAGAATGAGTAAGCCCCTATAAGTGGGAATACTAATTTATCTTTCGCACACTAGCCCAAACATCGCATATGCGGTTACTGTTGTTAGTTAATTCATGCATTTTCCTATTGAGGATCACCTAGAACAGCTATGAGGATAGTGAGTTATTTGAAGAAAGCTCTAGGAAGAGGCTTGATATTCAGAAAACTAGGACATTTGAAAGTCAAGGGCTATACAGATGCATATTGGGTAGCCAATATAACATATAGACGTTCTAACATTGGGTTACTTCACTTTCATTGGGGGTAATCTTGTTACATGGGGCAGTAAGAAGCATAATGTAGTGGCTCAACATTATCAAGGAGAAGCATAGACGTTCTGACAAGACCTGATCCAAATTCCACTTTGGAATCCGAATCGAACCCTGTGCGTGCCCGACACCTGGTGGGTGCCAGGCACAAATGACCAAATTGCCCTTCTAAAACAAACCAAAGAATTTCAAGCTCGACTTCTACCGAGAGTCTCCTCTGTAAATTGAACATTTCCCAAAAATTTCCATCTATAAAACAGGCATATATGTTTATATAACCTAACCGCCAGCATGCATTAAATTATATCCAAGCAATCAAGCATCATATCATTCTAGCCTTAGGCCTCAACAAATCAAATTAATCATTTTGATAATAAAACTCATCTCAACTTCCAGAACATCAATAGTACATTAGAAATCTCAAACACTCCAACTTGTGGCTGCACCTCGTAACATTAAGCTACCTACGTACCCCTTACTGAGGGATCAAGCCACATGTAGTTCTTCCAAATACTCGTATCAATCATATACTGGATATAAATATGCCATACACTGAACTCCCTTTATTTTACTTTAAGAATATCTCAAAACTGAAATTCTCTCCACCCAGGAGTACCCCCCATTCATGATCCGTCAATTCCATCCTCGCAGGCCTCAGAGACACCAAGTCTACTCGAGCCGCAATCCTCGTAGGCCTCGGAGATACCACTTCTATCCAAGTCGCAATCCTCGCAGGCCTTGGAGATATCACTTCTATCCGAGTCGCAATCCTCGTAGGCCTTGGGGACATCACTTCTATCTGAGTGGCAATCCTTTCTCCACACGGTTCAGGGGTTCTCGAAACACGTGGGGCATTATTTATAAATGACCGCATCCCAAACTTATATGAATACTTTCCTTTTATTTTCCCAATCTATTTCCTGGCCTTTATATCAACTTTCTTATAATTTGAATTAGATAACTCATTTTCGGTCAAGGCACGTTTACATGGTCCTTCTAACCCTTCTCAAAGGATATAACTACCTCAGGAGACTCACGATCAACCAAGGGATCAAACTACCTAAACCAGGTCAACCGGGCACGAGGGGCCCACCACCTCCTATCACAAATCCAAGAGTCCCTAAAGGTTCCGATATGCCTAGGACACATGTCCCGAGACTTTGGTCTCGATCAGACAGTCGAATTACCCACGATCGCACGATCGGACAATTTCTGTAAACCTAGCCCTAGGGTTGCCACTTCCGGAGTATCCGGGACTCTGTTTTACAATCCGTCGAATCCTATACGATCCTAAAAATTACATAGATCAACATATATGAAATTGACTATGATCCAACGGTTTAAACGTATCGAACCCGAAAATCACACAATAGGCAAGATCCGTTTCCAACATTATCCGAATTGAAATCCGTGAGTTCCTATGCACTTGTGACAACAAGGGGATCACTTTGGAACACAATGCCCCTCTGCTATAGTACCCACACATCACCACATGCCCTGGCAGCACGTGGGCGCCCAAAGCGATAACGCTTCGCCGGAAAATATCAAAATCACAACTCAAGACTCCTATCCTAGGTGTAACACCCTATTTGGGACCACTTTTGTTCTTTGACCTACCCCAAAAAATGAACGGAAGTGGCCTGAATTGGGGGCCGAAAATTGGCCAAACTCTTATCGCTTATACCTTCGAAAACTCAGAAATTTCTCCTAAATAACACAACTAGCAGCTAGAACACCTCAAGAGGATGAGAAAGCATACATGGATCGCAAGATTTCATGCCCGAAATCGTTCGAACTAAACTAGAGAAAATCTGTCAAAAGCCAGCCGTTTCTGTTGTAGTTTCCGGCGATCTCTGGTGGTTTCAAGGGCTGAGATCGATCAAGAAGGGAAGAGGGGGTGGTGGCTGTTCGTTTGGGTCCAATCTCATGACCGGTGGCGGCCTGTGGTGGTGACGGTGGCTTAACAGCCAACCAGCTGTAGCAAAACCGTCTAGGGGCTGCACGACTGGGCAACAAGAGAGAGAGAGAAAGAGAGAGGTTTTTAAATATGGCCTAGCAAATTACTATTTTGCCCCTCAATATATTTTGATCGTATCTCCCTCAATACAACTCGAATTTGGGCCCACTACGTGTCTATGGACTCGTTTCGACGTGATCTACACAATGGCGCAATCGAAGTTCCCAAATTCCTTCCCGGTCATAAAGTCAACTTAAACCTAATTAAATATTCCGAGGGTATTCTAGTCATTTCCTTGGATAAAATAGTAATTAAAAATTAATTAAGGATCGGGTTGTTACACGCTCTAAGCATGTGGAAGTGGATAGGCATTTTATCAAGCAGTAGCTAGTAGAGAAGCTGATTGATATTATAAGGTTGGAAGAACAAGTAGCAGATGTCCTAACACATGCGGTGTCAGTAACAGATTTTCATGACTCACTTAACAAGTTGGGCATATGAGATATCTAAACACCAACTTGAGGGGGAGTGTTAGTGTGAGGCTTGATTTCTTGGCATGATTCACGTTACCTAATTAGAGTAGTTACCGACATAGGATTCCTTGTGATTAGATAATTACTTTTCTTGTAGGAAAAGTAAAGTTATATGTGTATAAATATCTTCCTTATGGATAAATATGAAAATACAATTCATAATTATTCAATCTTGTGTTTTTGTTTAAGTCCATCCTCATCCTTCCTTTAGATAACTAGTTGAACATCCTCAAGTATCTCATATTGTGCTTAAAGCTTAACTCTTGAGAAGTGATCTATGTAAGAAAGAAACTGTATTTGTCATTGTGAAAATCCCCACTAATCTTGTCAACAACATGTGAGATTTTTGTAATTTATTTATTTTTGTCAAATGTGAGATCTTTATGATCTTGATCTTTCCATACTATTTTCAAACTTTACGTGGAGAATGAAATGATGTGATTCTATTTGTCAAATGCTTGTTAAGTTACAGATGTATATGCTTACAAAGTTTGTAAATGAATGACTAGTTTAGCTAGTTAGCATAGGCAAACATTTGAATATCTTTGAGAAGTTTGGATAGATTTTTCTTGCTTGCCTGTTCTTACTTGGTTGAGAACAGTTCTTGCCCACTTTGCAAAGTAGGTTTCATTGTGATCGAACTTGCTGTCTTTGTAAAACATAGAGCATTCTAGTTATTTTGTAGGGTTTGGGCATTCCTTTTCGAAGTGAGGGTTCCACCATGCAAGGTCGAGAGAATAGAGAGCTAGGGTTATGGTGAGAGAAAAGAGAGCTAGGGTTCTTGTGAGAGCTAAGGAGGTTCAAGTTGTGTTTGTGCCTAATAAATCACGGTCATAAACTGATTGAAGGGACTTCCTTTCGGCCTTGGCGCCTACCGTTTCGTCAAGCATTTCGCCTTCCTGAAAACAAAAGAAAAGCTGCAAAGGCAGAATCCTCTCGGCCTCGTGACCGCGGTATTGAAGGCCGAAGCCGAAGGCCGTAAAAGAAACGGCCGAAGAAGCTGTGGTTAAATCGCCACGTGGCCGCAGGGTCCCACGCCCCATTTAATGAAGTAATGCCTCTGACTTTCGTAGCAAACCCACTAGTCGCAAGAGGCATTTAATGCACAAGGGAAGAAGGGAAGTGACTGAAGTTAGGATTTGGTGATGGAAATCAGGGTGGTTAGGCGCCGACATTCTCACAAGTAATCTTACGACTTGAGGTCAGATCACCAACCACTAGACCAGGGCATTAAATGCGTTCCCACGGCCAAGGGGGCAGAACCCACGATCAGGGCGGTGGTCGAGATTTATGGGGGTCACACCACCATGCTTCTCAACCCCAAACCACCATGCTTCACGATCCCAAATGCCAATTTGACTACCCACTTGCCCTGGTTAGGCTCCACCATGCAGGTCTTGTCAGCCTCGATTGTCCCTCCAGGACTCCTCCTATAAATACTAAGCTCAGGACTACGTTCAAAGGGTTCAAACACCAAACCAAAAGCCTCCCATGGAGCAAATTATATTTTCCTGTAATGCACTTTCAATACCTTTATTTGCTTTCCTAGGAGTAGTGGTAGATTGTAAGGAAAATCCATTCATCAATATATCATACGACCCTTGATTTTCAAGGCGTCGGAGCACCATCCCTATTATCGTCTCATTCACGCCATATATCATACGACCGTCGTTGTCTGAGTAACACGCCGGAGCACCGCCTAAAACCCGCCACCAACACCACCACTAAACGGCCTTGTAGCTCAGGCCGTGAACCTGAAGGCCGACATCAGTTCCTCTCTCGGCCACAATGGTTTGATTAGGAGTCAAACGCAAAACAGGCGCAATATTTAACCATCTTCTACCCAAACCTCATCATCATCTCGACGCACGGTAAACTGTGCTGGCACGCCCGCACACAACCGCACCGCATCCAAAAGAAGGACGTCACGTGTTGACGCACATCCCCTCAGCCCGATCACCAGGCCGTGAGATTCGCAACAGCCAACACTTTTGGCACGCCTGGTGGGATTCTTGTCAATCTTTAGAGAGTGGAGCTCCTTCTTCAAAAAGAGCTTGTTGTGCAACGATTTAGCCCCAAACATCTCTTCGAGTTTCTCCCATGTTTGCTTCGCAATGTCATCCATCATACTACACTACACCTTGTCAGTTAGATGTTTTTCAATGGATCCTCTAGCAAGCTTGTCATGGTTACCGACTTCTTTCCTTGCCTGTCAAGACTTTGCTGAAATCTTGCTGCTTAAGGACATGCTTCATCCTTCTTTGCCGAAGCGTGAAGTTCTCTTTTGCCAGTGAACGGCTTTAACTCCACCTTCGTACTCAACACATGTTGTGATTTCATGCCGGAGCTTTGTCCCTTCTTGTCACCTACCATCGTCAATACACTGCAGCTCTTAAAGTTGTAAAGGCACTTGGGCATAAACTAATACCCTCTGTAACTAGGCCTTGATACCACTTGTTGTGCTAAAAAACTCCAAGACCTTGTCATTGATGGACTGTGCAACTATCACATACAAGCCACACAAAGATAAAGCACACACAAACCAAAAAGTAAACAAGCACACAAAGAACACAAGAATTTATAGAGGTTCGGCGTTGTTCCTATGTCCTTTTGGTGATCCCTGAGAAATTAACTAGTAAGAAAGAACCCCTTTGGTTACAATGAAGAACCCCATTTGCTCTCTCAAATCCAATTTAATGCCTTAGTTTTCTCACGTTATAATAACCTAGTGCTAAAGTGCCTATTTATATGTCATAGGGCTTTAGTACAATTATACAAGGAATAGGAAACTTAAAGGACACCAAAACTCAAAAGAAATCTATCGCTTAAGTGCTAAAGTGTCATAGTGCTAAAGTGCCTATTTATAATTCGCCAAGGCGCCATGCTGGATTCGTTCCTCCCACTCGAGTGCCTTAAGTCTGCTCGAAAGCCTAGGTCGGAGTGTGAATTCTCACTCTACCCACTCGAGCGCTTGCAGCTTCTCTCGAGTGCCAGTGCCAAGGTGAGAAACCACCATTTTGCCACTTGAGTGCCTGCAACTTCTGCAAAACGACTGCAGCTCTTTGACCGTGCGTGTTCTCTGTTCCTTCCGCATCTTTAAGGTGAGCCAACATTAATAGTATGCCTGTAGTTTTTTTTTTCTTAGGTGTTAACTCAATTAGTTTGTTGAACGCTTCAGGCCCTTGCCTAGTAGTATAGCTCTAAGTTACTTCAAGCAGAGCTCGAGAGGATACAAATCAATACAACATGTTTTGTGGAGTCAAATCCATTAGACTCAGTACCCGAATAAGTTACGCATGCTTATGCTTCATTTAGGGGATCACTAGATTCTCCAAGTAGAAACTACAGAGGGAACATAGGATCCACAAGCTACTTGCGAAATAGGTGTCGATAAATTTGTAAATTTTCGAAGGGATTTTACTCTTTGAATGTCACTTTGTATGTGTTAGTGTTGTAGTGTAGTTAATCGGCTGAGAACCATAATCCTTCTATTGTTTACTCCCTCTTGAGTTTTTATTTATTTATTTTTATTTTTATCTTCCCTTTTCAATTTCTTGCTATACTTGGTCGTCAAGCACAAAATTGTATATTTTTGTCATTGTGTTAAATGCCAGTATACTTCTTTTGCTGTATTATTTGTAAGTACATTCATTTTCTCTTTCTTATTTGCGAAGGTTCTATTGTTTTCTCTTGTATATTTGTGAGCGTGAGATTGCATGCATTTGGGGCTTAGGGTTTCTTCTGTTATGATTAAACATGATTTATGATTAATGTCACGCCCCGGACCCAGGGATCAGTGGAAATTCCGCGCCCGATGCTTGGGAAAGTAAAATAAAATAAAAAGCTGAAACATGGGTTTAAAATAAACTTCTCTTATAAAATAGCTCCAAAATCTTACAACTTTACAAGAAATAAATAAAACTCTATCACTCTCATATAATTCAGCCTCAACTGGTTTAGTTCTTGTCTTGCCCACTAATTCATTTGAAAAATTAAACACGGTGAGGGATGAGCAACCACCACTTAGTAGGGACATTAGACCTTACCACAGTAGATTGATATAACTAAATTAAGTGACGTGTAATCACAAAAAAAAAAATATCACATTAATAATATTAATGCATAAATGCTCTTTATCGACTCCTATTAATTCATATAACTGCACGTCCCATACCATACTATACCACTTGGTCCTGAATGCCCATTTATATGAATTAACACCCATCTCAATCATCCTATAATTCCCCTTTTGTTAGTCATCTTATCTAATTCCTTGTCGCCAGTCTCGAATCACCCAATAAAAATCATGTGCACTGTGGGATCCCTGAGATTTGGTACCTGCCAAGAGTTAGACTCAACTACACAAAAGATTTTTTCCATTACCCTCTTTTCCATACTTTTTTTATCAACCCAAGAATTCTAGCCATCACTGATAACATATGATCATGTCAATATTAATAAAATAATATAATGATAATTAACAACACTGAAACACCCAATATCAATAAGAATCATATAATAATATGCCAAATTTCACTTTACACCACACCACATAGGCATCGACAAACCATGAAACCGATGCTATTAGTATATTTGGCATCAATTTTATAAATAATATAACTAAAAGTATATAAAGACATCTACAAAATTTCAGGCTTTGCCTACTGATGTCGTTGATGCTACTTTAGCATCTATGGTTTAATGTACCGATGCGTAAAGTGGTTTTTAAAAAAAATTGTCAGCAAAACATTTAGCCACTGATGCCAAAACCATGGTCAACTCGCTACAGTGAATTTTTTCTCAAAAATTTCACTCCCTCTCAATTTCAGACTCTCCCTCTTCTGTTTTTTTTTGGGAAAACCCTCACTCTATCTCTAACACTCTCATGAACCTTTCAGAAAACCCTCTCTCTCTCTCTCTCTCTCTCTCTCTCTCTCTCTCTCTCGTTTACGAAGCACCATCTCCCTCGCGCCGTCCAGGGCACAGAACTCGTTGAGATCACCATCTTTGTCACTCCGTTCAGGTCACGGAGGTCACCATCTCCCTCACGCTCTCCATGTCACCGAGCTCTTTGAGCTTGCCATCTCCCTCGTGTTACTTTTGTTTCCAAATTCGTGTCTTAGAGTTTTGTCGCAGGTTTCTTGAACATCTTCAAGGTTAGTCTCCTCCCCCCTCCCCCTCTCTCATTTTCTCTCTGATTCCCAATTCCTTCCTAGAGAAAAAGGTATTCTAGAGTTAGGTTTCGATTTATTTGGGCTGGGGAAATTTGTTTTGGGCCAAATGGTCTTGATTTGATGTTGTGTGGTGAAGGATTTGAAAGGATTGGCAGCTTAGTAGCCAGAGTTGGTCTGTACAGAGATGACATCGAATTAGTTGCTGCCCATAGTTGGAAGGATTATGCAAAACTAATATTTTTGAAGGTCTCTGTGTTTGGTTTTTGTAAGTTTTTAGTATTTCTTTATTGCTTCCAATCTAATATTTTCACATACATTATCTTAGTTTCTCTCTTATTTATTTATCTATTATTTCTATATATATTTTCATCCTACTCTGTTTTCCAGAAATTGGGGTTAAATTTGAATTGTGGCTGCAATAGAAGAAAAAACTAGGTCTAACTGTGAAATACGAGTGCCTTCAATATTAGTCAGTTTCAGTTTCAACCTCCATACCATATATGTATAACCAATCTATGGTTTAATAGATTTGATTTCTCTGATATTTATTTCCTTGAAAAGTTGATTATATTTTGATATATTTCTGAAAGGTTTGGGAATTTAGTTTATCAAGTTAAAATGTCCATCATCTCCAAGCAAGAGGATAGAAATGGATGTCATGAAGTTGTAAGTTGTTGGTTACTTTATTATCTCCAACCTTTGTAATCTGGGTCTTATGTTTCTTAAGACTAGATTCCTCCCTTTTGGTATACCAAAGTAGTCTTGTTTGTACAAGTACTTTAAATCATGTTGCTGCCTTCCTCTCTTGTACAATATAAAGCTATGTTTAATGTCTTCTTCAATGTTTTTAAGGATGATGAGTGACTATAATGTGGAGACAATAAATGGAAATTTTTTCATCTTTCTTTGTCTTTTGGTAGACATTAATTGCTCCTCATCTCCATCTCCCCCTTCGAATCTCCATCTCCCCCTCTTTCTCCTCTTGCTTCTCATCTTCAAAACGCCTCTGCCATTCTCTTTTCCTCTCTATGCGGATCTCCCTTGCTTCTCCTCTGCCCTCCTTTCCACTCGCCCTAGCTGCAATGAAACAATAAGAACTGAAAGAAGCCAAAGCCCCTTAGCTAGACCAAGTTAGCGATTTTAGGGTTTCTTTTTTTCTTTTTCAAATTTTAGGAGTTTAATTTAGGGTTTTCAATATTTCTTAAATTTCATATATGGATTTGATTTCATTTGGTTGCAAGTATCTTTTGGGTCATCTGCTCCAAGCATAAACTTCCTTCCAAGCCAGTGAACGCAACGCCCTTGTTCGTCTCTCTCCCTCTTTAGATCTATCTATCCCCTTTATCATCTTCTTAATTGTTAATTATTAATCTCTAACTCTATCTGTCGCTCTGTCTCTCTGTCTCTGATTTAGTTTTTTTCTTCTTCTTAATCATAGGCAAATCAGAGTTATTCTCTTTGTCTCTTTTATTTATTTATTATAATTATTGTTGGAAATGCAGGAATCATATATTGTGTGTGTGAGAATGTCAATGTGAAGTTGGTCGGATACAGAAACTTCTATCTATAAGCATTGAGTTGATTTGGGGTTTTCAAAGTTGTTGAACAGCAGACGGGAAACCAGGTTTGTTTGTTTGTTTGTTTGTTTGTTTCAAGTAGTTGAATATTATTTGCAGGTTTAATTGTCGGTGGACTTGCTAACATCTCTAATACGGAAACCAACATCAGGTACCAATATACAAAGAGGAATTCAAAAATTAAATTAAAACCCCACATGAGGTGAATAATCATGTCTTCTTTCTGTTCCTTTGTGCAGGATGTGGTTCAATTTCCATGAGGAATTTTTCTTCCTATTCCTCCTACCCCCTATCATATTATATCCTAACTTTCCCATGTTTTCTTTTCTTCAAATATTTCATTTCTTGCTCCAATTTACGTTAATTGGCTACTATGTACTATTGTCCTTGACATTTTTGTGCTCACTCAGTCCGGGTTCAGTCTCTCACCTGTAAGTTTTTCAGTATTTTTGTCTCTTCTCTGATATAAATGCGTGTTTTCCTATCCTTTTGCCTTGAACCCATCTTCTTTCTAATGTGCTTTACTATTTTTGCTCCCATCTTCACTGAAACGTTTCTTCTCTAACTTTGGAGCCATTGTCACTTTTGCTATCCTAGGAACCTTAATATCTTTAGTTGTTACTGGTATTCTGGTGCAAGTTTTTGTTTTCATTCTCAAAAAACCTTTCATGATATTACAGTTTTTACCCCATCCAACTAAGTTAGGTTTATCTGTTCCCCCTTCGTGTTGCAGTTACCTTGGTGGTCTAATATACCTCATGTACGGACTTCCATTTGTAGAGTGCTTGATGTTTGGTGCTCTTATATCAACAACTGATCCAATCACTGTCGTGTCCATCTTTCAGGTGCTTTACTGCTCCCTTTTATTTTTTTATAGTTGGTTCTTGATAGGTTTTACTTTGGCAAACCCAAGTTGCACAACCAAACAATGAACCAAAAACATATGGAATCATTTCCAGGATCAAGAATGTTGATGCTCTTTTTCGGAGAGGGTCAACTTAGAGAAAAGGGGTTTGCCTTCAGCAGTGGAGAAGGTGTGGACCTTCGATAAGGGGCTGGCCTACAAAAGACAAAGTAGGAGAAGCAATCATTAAGCTTCGGACACCGGTGTGGTGCCGGCCGAAGGCTCTCCGATGCTTAAGTCAGCTAAGAATAGTAACTTTGGCAGAGTAACAGTAAAAGGTAAGAAAGTAGTTACCCTTTTTTACTAGGGTATTGTTCCCTATTTATAGGGAAGTGAAAGTGGGAGGTTTGTGTAGACTTTTGATGTGGGACTTTGTGCAAGTCGTTGTGGTGGTGACACGTGTCATGGAGATTAGGTTCAACAGTTTGAGAGAGTTGGCAGTCGGGAGCTTCGGCAGGTGTCTGGCACCTTGGAAGAGTGTCTTCCTTCGGCACGGGAGAAGGCGTTTTGGTGCTATATGTTTTGAGGCTGGATATGCTCGGTTGATTATGGTGTGCAGTAGTACCCCAAGTTTGCAGTCAAGAAGTAACTTCTGGGTTGGGAACTTGTTAGATTTTTGTGTAATCGTGACCGAGCATTCCAGGTTCAATGGGAGTCGTAAGGCATTCCCTAGTCCACCGAGTTGGCAAGTTAGAAGTTACGTCAACACGTGGAAGGTATGGTGGCTGTGTGAGCTTCTAATGCTGTTGGTAGCTGGGTACCTGGGCATTTTGTAGGGAGCCCGGGACTGGGCTCTATGGAGTTGAGCATTGGTAGAGGCCGTGGCCTTGAAGCTTTGGCAAGGGAGCCTTGGGGAGCAAAATTTGAAAAGCAAGGAGCTCGGCCTATGGAGTATATTTAGGTTCATGGGAAAGACCTGGGGTCAAAAAGGCTGGGCCTTAATAGAGATTTCGGCAAAATTCTCCATTGGAGCTAGGCTTCGGCATAGGCCAAGAGATGGGGTGAGCTGGGATCCAGGTTCGTGAGCACTCGCAGTTTCGACAAGAGATCCAAGTCCCTATGAACGTCTTCGACATGTGGTCTTGGAGCTAGGCCACGAAAGTCCTTCGAGGTGATTTCGTGAGTCCCCACTCTTTCATGGGCCTAGCCGTTCGGCATGGCCATCCCCCTTTTTCTTGTTTTTTTTGTTTTGAGAAGAATTTCTTAGGTGGAACTCATAAGGGCCTTCGGTAGAGAGAGGCATGGCGCAACTCTAGGCTTCCGAGCCTGTTTTGGGCTGCAAAAATCAGGTTTGGAGCTGAGCCATAACTGGGCCTTTGGAAGGGTCCGAAAATAGAGGATAAGTGCTAGGGTTTTGAGGGAGAGGGGTGTGTCCCTCAAACTTTTACAAAAACTGTCGTTCGGCAAGACCTTGGTTTCAGCTCAACCAAGCTTCGGCAAGCAAGGCAAGGGTGGAGAATTGTGGAGATCTTTGGTTCTCGCGAGGAGTTGGAGCTGGGACGGTGTCGTGTGCTGGAGCTAGGCAGCAGGTACGCATCTTATGGATGTTTGTTTTGTTGGGCACATGCCCTGCCGATTGGCAAGGTTCAGTTGACAAAATTAGTGACTTCTTTCATTGTGTGTTCGGCTATGTCTTCTGTAGGAATTGAGACCACTCCACAGTCGGTAAGGGGCTTGGTCCCAAGGTTTCGGCAAGTGCAGAGAGGTGGAGAAGAGTATTTGAGCTAGGCATTCGGTGGGTGTTGAAGTGACTTCGGAAGCACTGGCATGTGGCTACACGGGGTATAGACCATTGTGAAATTTCGTGGAGCTGGGCTCGGGAGGCTAGGTGCCTTGATCAGATTTTTTGAGGTTAGTCTTTATTTTTGGAGGCTTCCATTTCGTTTGCTACTCATCCCTTGCCGTTCGGCAAGGTTGAGTTTCCTTTTTGCAAGCCCTGTGTGGTTGAATTTTTGAGAAAATAGGCTGAGTTGTTGGTGTTTTTGACAGGTGAGTTTGTTTTCGAAGACCATTGGTTCGGCAACACAATCCTTGCCTGTAAGCAAGGGATATCTGGGACTAACTTGCTGGTTGGAAATTCACGGTCGTTTGACAAGGGAGCTAGAGCTCAGGCCTTCGGTACCTTCTGATTTGAACCGGGCTTGTTGTGAGCCTTCTTGACTTTGGCTGCTCGTATCCCTGGACTTGGGCCCGTCAACAGGTGGGTTTAGGCTTGTGTGAGAATTTTGTGACCTAATTGATTCTGCATGGTCCTTGCCGTTCGGCAAGGACATTTCGAACTAGTCTGCCTGTTTGTTGTGTCAGCAAGGCTAGTCTAATGATAAATTTGGTTGACTTTGACTTTTGCAGCCGGGTCTTTTGGAGTCGGGAGTTGAGTCTTGAAGGCAAGTTCGGAGTTGGGCCTTGAGGGCAAATTTGGAATCCTTGAGGCTGGGCCCTTCATGGTGTTGGTTTTTGGCAAAGTAGGCAAGGCTTCATCCTTGCGTGCCCCTTGGTGTTTTAGCTCAAGTAAGCTTGGAGCTGGGCTTCATGAGTTAGCAATTCGTGGTGAGCCTCCCCTTGCCTCTCCACGGGCCTTGCCATTCGGCAAGGTCCTTCATTATTTTTGTTTTGGTCCCATGGCCGGCCCCGGGCGGTTTTTTTTTTTTTTTTTTTTTTTTTTTTTTTTTTATTTAAAAAAAAAAAATTTGAAATTTCAAATTGTTGCAGGTACAAGGGATTTGGGAGGGAAGTTGAAGGGGTGCTAGGGTTTCTCGTGTACCTTGGGGCTTTATAAATAGGAACTTGGGGTGTCGAAGGTGATCATACCTGAGTTTTGAGAAAATTTTCTAGAAAGTGAGAAGGAGAAAAGAGATTTCCGGCGAAATACCTCGTGGTGGTGTTGCCGCCAAGGTGATTTTCGGCGACTTTCCGTGGTGGTGTAAACAAGGTTAGACCTTATTTCCTTGAATTTTTGAATTGAAATGTCTTTTGCTATATGAAGATGTTGAACACTAGGATGAACACCTTGAATATGAGCATGAACATGATGAACATCTTGAACATTGGTATGAACCTGTTGAGTGTATGTTTCTAGGTCAAAAGCATGTAGGTGTGCCCTCCCTTTCATGTTCTTGTGTTTTCGATCCTTCTTGCATGTGCATTAGTTCTTTTTCCTTGTTTCTGCATGTTGTAGATGTTTGAAAGTTTTGATAAAGAAAGTCTTAACCCCCCTGCCTTTAGTGGGGATGATACTGAGAGTGAAGAGCCCAGTGAATATGTTTATTCTGAAGGGAGAGTTCCCAGACAGAGGGTCTGGTAGAAGGTATCATAGAAAGTAGGATGGTAGTTCGTGATGGTGAGATAGGTGAGCCATCAATAGATTCTCGGGAGGCTGAGTACATAGAGATGTAGAGGAATTACAAAGTGTTAGAGGTTGTGGCTGATCGGGTTCTAGCCTTGCCTCATACACCAAAGGTGGGCTCGAGCAATCAGGCATCACCATCAGGGTCTGTGGGTATAGCCATGCCTTCAACTTCAGAGGGGGTGGACATACAGGTTGGTGTCCCCTTGGCTAGGTGGAATATTCTTACAGAAGTAAAGTTGGCTGAGCTTTGGACAAATTATTGTGTTACAGCTTATGTGGGCTTGAGGTTACCCACCGCAGCTACCCTCCGGAGGGTTCAGTTTTTTACGGATATGTATCAGCATGGCTTCAGACTACTGTTTGTGCCTAATAAAACACGGTCATGAACTGATTGAAGGGACTTCCCTTCGGCCCTGGCGCCTACTGTTTCATCAAGCATTTCGCCCTCCTGAGAGCAAAAGAAAAGCTGCAGAGGCAGAATCCCCTCGGCCTCGTGACCGCAATTTTGAAGGCTAAGGCCGAAGGCTATAAAAGACACGGTCTGAAAAGCTGTGGTTGAAACGCCACGTGGCCTCAGGGCCCCACGCTCCATTTAATGAAGTAATGCCTCTGACTTCGCAGCAAAACCCACTAGTCACAAGAAGCATTCAATGCACGAGGGAAGTGACTGAAGTCAGGATTTGGTGATGGGAATCAGGGTGGTTAAGCGCAGACATTCTCACAAGTAATCTTACGACTTAGGGTCAGGTCACCAACCACCAGACCAGGGCATTAAATGCATTCCCACGGCCAAGGGGGCAGAACCCACGATCAGGGCGGTGGCCGATGTGCTGGGAAGACCATCAGGGAAGACCATGTCCAGACATATTCCAACCCATTTCTAGTCTATAGGTCCTTAGCCCCATCCTTTAAGACTGATTAATTTTTTTAGTGTTTGTACTTGTTTGAACTCTTGGTTCTTCATTTTTGCTTGTGCAAGTGTAAATGGCTAAGTAGTATTTAACCTTTGGTGCAGGTTCGGTGAAGTAGGGGCCGATCTCCAAGGAACAAGAAGATAAGGTTGAGAGGGTGAGGTCACTGTTGTCAGAGACCGAGCGTGAGTGTAAAAACTTAGTCACTTAGAAGAATCTACTTGAGTCCGACCTTTTGCAAGGAAGTAAGTATTTAGGTCACCTTTGTTGTTTGTCTTTTGATTCCCTTTTTGTAGTTGTGACTAACTTAGCTTTTGATGTGCAGTGACAGGTATCATAAAGGGAAGCACAAAGGTGGCTGTGGATCTGGATGATGCCAAGATGCAGAAACGGCTTAAGGAGTCTCGGGCGCAGATGGCTGGGAAAGGGGTTGCTAGGCAAGCGGCTGGGAAGCGTCCTAGAGATGATGATGAAGGCCTGGTTGCCGATGTGCTGGGAAAGAAGAGAGCGTTGGAGGAAGCTCACCGGAGTGTGATGGGAACAAGGCCGAGGCTTCCTTCCTTTGACCTGTAGGCGCCGCTGAAGCTCCCCTTGGGTATGGAGGACGTTTATGCTGAAGGGGTGGAGAAGATTGACTTCTCCAGGCTGCGTCGGCAAAAGAAGGAGGTGAACCTAGCCATGCATCGGCAGGAGGTTCCCTTGGTGAACGTCTTCCTGGAAGGCGTGAAGTGTGACCCTGAGGTTCTGGTGAGGACACCGGCCACTTCCTATGCAGATCGGGCCCAGAAGACGTTTCTTACCCATGCCTATGTAAGTTATCTTACTTTATGAATTTTTTCTTATTATTCGAGTTTACCTTTGACTGATGACACCTTCTGTTGCAGGCCAATGGTGAGATGTATGTGAACATGGCCAAGGCAAATACGGAGATTAAGAGGTTGAAGAGGCGCAATGAGATGGCCAAGGACAAGATAGCGGAGGCGTAGGATGCCATCCGGGAGATGAACGCCCTGCTGTTGCAGAAGGCGGCGCTGGCCAGAGAGGTGGAAGAGCTGAAGCAATCGAGGGCCGATGAGGTAGCTACTGCCAAGGCAAAAGTAGAGCAAAAAAAGGCCGAGGCAAAGCGATCGAGTAGTTTTGGGGTTCAGAGGAGCTACAAAGTTACATCATGGATCAGATGGTGGCCATGCAACTGCGTTGGGAGCAGAGGTTGGCGAGGTTCAACCCTTCGATGAAGATTAACTTTGATACAAGTGGCGAGCCTCCTTCACCTAGTCCTAGCACCAATGCTACTCCAGAGCTAGAGCCAGCTGCTACGGATGCCCCTTCTACCGAGTCTTGAAGGCGTTGCCTTCGTTATGTATTGTAGTTATTTATTTGGAACACTTGATGTTTATTTCTGTTTTGTATGAACATTTTGCCTTGCCTAGGGCAAGGTTATGTTCTTGTGTTGTCATTTGATATCAGTTGTGCTAGCAAAATGATAATCATGTGATTGATGAGATGTAGCCAAAGTCAGGCGTTTCATTAAGTAGGTGCCAAAGGGCAGAAGGTACAGAGTCATGTCTCAAAACCAAAGTATAAGAAAACATAATGTTCTAGGGTCTAGGTATGTTTACTTATAGAAGTACTTGAGATGATCAACGTTCCAAGGATGTGGCAAGGTCTTGCCCTTGGGATTGCGAAGTTGATACGTGCCAAGTCAGCAGACTTTAGTAACCTCATAAGGACCTTCCCATGTACGGCCTAAGGTACCTTCAATAGGGTTCTTGGTGGCCAAGGAAACCTTGCGCATAACCCAGTCCCCAATCTTGAAAGCACGGGGTTTGACCTGGGAGTCATAGTACTTGGCAATGCGTTGTTTGTACGCGACGTTGCGCATGTTGGATTGGTCACGAAGCTCGTCAATGAAGTCGAGGTTTAGGGCTAACTGCTCATCATTGGCTTCGGCCTCAAAAGTGGAATTCGGTGGAAAGAGAGAATGGTGTTTCTCCTGTTGAGGTACGGAATGTGGTACGGTAGGACCAGAGAACTTCTGGGAGTAGCTCTGGCCAGCAACCCTTAGCTTTGTCTAGCTTGGTTTTTAGAGTTTTCTTGATGATCTTGTTCACGGCTTCAACCTGGCCATTGGACTGAGGATGGGCTGGGGAGGCGAAGCAAAGACTTATCTTGAGGTTGGAACAAAATTGTTTGAACTTTGCCTTGTCAAATTGCCGGCCATTGTCCGTGACGATGGTTTTGAGGACGCCGAAGCGACATACGATATTTTGCCAAACAAAAGTTTCGATGCGGGCTACAATGATGGTGGCTAAGGCTTCAGCTTCAGCCCATTTGGTGAAATAGTCTACCGCCACAACTTGCATACTTGACTTGGCCCTTTCCCTCAGGCATAGGTCCAATAAGGTCAAGTCCCCATTGGGCAAATGGCCGAGGGCGGACCGTGGCTGTCAATGGTTCAGCTGGAAGTTGTGGGATGTTGGCAAATCGCTGACACTTATCGCACTTCTGGGTGAAGGCCTGGGCATCCGTATGAAATGATGGCCAAAAGTATCCCTGCCGAATGGCCTTGTGTGCTAGGGAGCGAGCGCTTGAGTGATTGCCACAGATGCCCTCATGAATCTCCCTTAGGACATAGTTACCTTCCTCTGGGGTCAGGCACCGAAGGTATGGGAGGCTGAAGCCACGCTTGTGTAGGGCACCATTGATGATTAGGTATCGGGTGGAGCTATAGCGAACATACCGTGCTTCAGCCGGATCAGCAGGTAGTGTTTGGTTTTGCAAGAACTGAATCATAGGGTCCATCCATGTTGGGCTATGATCAATGCTACAGATGAGCGGTGCCTGTGTGCTGGGCTGGTCCAAGAACTCGATGTGGATGTGGCGACCTGTGCCCTGTTCCAAGGCCGAGGCTAGCCTGGCCAATGCATCAGCATGGCTGTTCTCAAAGCGTGGTACTTGGCTTATAAGATGAGCGTCAAATGTTGCAAGCAAATGGCGGGTATGCTGCAGGTAGGCGATCATAGAGATGTCATTGGCCGTGAAGTCCTGATTGACTTGATGGACAACGAGCTGTGAGTCACTGAATATCTAAATTTGCTTGGCGCCTATCTCCTTTGCTAGCCGAAGGCCAGCTAAGAGTGCTTCGTATTCAGCCTCATTGTTGGAGGCGTGGAATTTGAAGCAGAGGTTGTACTCAAGGACAACCTTGTCTGGGGAGATGAGAACAAGGCTGGCCCCACATCCCTGGGCATTGGATGAGCCATCCACATAAAAGGTCCATAAGGGCTGGGTCAGGTCGAGGTTGCCATTGTTGGCGACGTGGAGCTGGCCCAAAGGAAGATTGGGTTTGGTTATGATCTTGGTAGCAGTCGAAGCCTGGGGTTCCGTGAATTCTGATATGAAGTCAGCAACAGCTTGGCCCTTTGTATTTGGGCAGGGTTTGTAGTGGATATCAAATTCACCAAGTTCAATGGCCCATTTAACCAACATCCCAGAAGTTTCTGGCTTCTACAACACTTGCCTGAGTGGTTGGTTGGTTAAGACATGGATGGTGTGAGCTTGGAAGTATGGTCTGAGGCGTGTAGTTGAGACTACGAGTGCAAAGGCCAGCTTCTCAATGTCTGGGTATCGAACCTCGGCATCTTGTAACGCTTTGCTAACATAATGCATTGGGTGCTCAGCACTTTCTTCTGGCCAGATGAGCACAGAGATAACCGCTGTAGCCGAGATGGAGAGATAAATCATGAAGATGTCTCCAGGCTTAGGGGTTGACAATAAAGGGGCCCGGCTCATATACTCCTTGAGCTCGCTGCAGGCCTTGTCACACTCGGCAGTCCAGGTAATGCTTCGTTTGCTACCCTTAAGTGCCTTGAAGAATAAGGTGCAGCGATCAGTAGCCTTGGAGATGAATCTGGTCAGGGCTGCGACACGCCCGGTAAGGCTCTAAATGTCCTTGACCGTCTTGGGTATCGTCATGACTAAGATGGCCTGGATCTTCTCTGGATTGGCCTCAATACCTCTCTGGCTAATCATGAAGCCAAGGAATTTGTCTAAAGCCACCCCGAATGCAGACTTGGTAGGGTTGAGCCTCATTCTACACTCCTTCAAGATGGTGAACATGGCAGAGAGGTTAGGGATGTGCTGGTCAGTAGTGCGACTCTTGACTAGCATGTCATCAACATAAACCCCATGATGTTGTCACTTAGTGGGGCGAAGAGGCTATTCACCAAGCACTGATAAGTAGCCCCAGCATTCTTGAGCCCGAAGGGCATCACCTTATAGCAATATAGACCATGATCCGTGATGAAGGAGGTGTGGGCTTGGTTTTCAGGGTGCATGAAGATCTGGTTGTACCCAGAGTAGGCATTCATGAAGCTGAGGAGGGCATGGCTAGCTGTGGTGTCCACCAGTTGGTCAATGCGGGGTAAGTTGATGCTATCCTTCGGGCAGGCCCGATTAAGATTGGTGTAGTCTACACACATGTGCCATCCCTTTTTTGGTTTATGGACCATCGCCACATTAGCCAGCCAAGTGGGATAGTCCACTTCCTTGATAAATCCAATGGTACTCAGCTTATCCACCTTTGCCCTCATGGCCTCATACTGCTCTGGGTCATAAGCACAACACTTCTGCCGAACAGGTCGGACGGTAGGATTAATGCTTAGCCGATGGGAGATGATGTCTGGTGATATGCCAGGCATGTCATTGTAAGACCAGACGAAGACCACAGAGTTGAGGCGGAGGAAGGCAAAGAGATCAGAGCGAAGCTCTGGTGGGAGGGAGGTGCCGATCCGAACCTGTCGATTCGGGATGTCATCATGGAGAGTGACCATCTCAAGGTCTTCCACAGGTTCGGCCTGCTGAGTGACAGATTCCTCCCTTGCGTCTTCAGGTCGTTCAGTGCCAACTCGAGGAAGGTCTGGGGCCTGGGTTACTGCGAGGGCCTCACTCCTATGTTGGCGATTGGTGGATTTGACTACTGAAGTATACAGCTTTGGGCGCCAAGTTGGTCGCTGCACACCGTGCTTGTGCCGTAGGGCGTAGGGAATTTCAGCAACAGCATATGTGTGGAAATGAAAACCTTCATTTGGGCCATGGCAGGGCGCCCAAGGATGACGTTGTAGGCTGTTGGGCAGTCAATAATGAGGAAGGGAGTGGTAATCGTCGCCCGCTAAGGTGCTACTCCAATAAAGATAGGGAGATGGATGCTTCCAATGGGTTGGACAACATCACCGGAAAAGCTCACCAGGGGTGTGATGCTTCGGTCAAGCAAGTGAGACGGGATCTAGAGCTCGTTGAAAGCATCAGCAAACATCACACTGACCGAGCTGCCATTGTCCACCAAGATACGCCCAACATCAAAGTTAGAAATGTTGACGCGGATAATGATTGGGTCATTGTGGGGGAGAATGACACCACGCTCCTCTTCCTCGCAGAAGGTAATGAGAGCCCAGCTTGATTTTTGTGTCTTCGGCAGGCGTCCCTGCTCAGTGCTGAAGACCTAGTGTGCATAGGTGGAGCGAACATAATGTTTGATGGAGTTGTTGGAGGTTCCAGCCATGGTAGGACCACCACTGATGGTTGAGATCATGTTGATCTGCCGTTGGTGAGGGTTAGGTTGAGGGAGTGGGAGATGGTGCACATATTTGTCCAACTTGCCCTCACGGATGAGGCCTTCAATGATTCGGTATTGTGGCCACCGAACTAATGAAAGCGACAAAAGACATCCGTGTTGGGCATAGGCTTGCTGCTTGGTTTCCGGGGGGGAGGCTTGGGTATGATAGGTGCCTCGTGCACCAGGACATTCTCGTAAGTAGTGTTGAGGGTGGTGAAGACCTTGAACCTAGGCTTAGGTGTGAAGGGGAGTGGCGCCCGATCACTTGTCCTAGAAGGGTTGTTTCCACTAGACTGGTGGTGGTTGCCATGTCTGCCACGCTTGCTATTACTGAAGGTATGCTGATAGCTATCCTTCCTTTTTGGGTGTGGGGTACCCTAGGTACTTGGGGTGGGAGTAGAATGTTGAGGTGGGGCTGGGGCAGGTACTGAAGCAGGTGGGGGATCAGCGAAAGTGTTACGTGCCGGGGTGGCTGGACCACGCTTGGAATTGAAGTACTCAGCCTTGGCGTGAACTGCTGCCTGCTTCATTAACTCAGCATATGTTTTCCAAAGGTTGTTGTGGACTAGGTACCGGAAGTTGGACTTGCGGAGGCCACTCTTGAAAGCACCGAAGGCAGCAGGAGTATTCATGGCTGAACCGGGTCGCATACTCCCGAAGTGGCTCGTCCTCACCCTACTGAAGTATGTACAAGTCTTCGGTGGAGTATAAGCAGTCAGTCTAGATCATGAAATGGTCCAGGAATGCTTGCTTTAGATTGTCAAATGAGTTGATGGTGCGGGGGTTCAGCCTGTAGAACCAATTCAAGGCCGTGTCACTGAGGGTGGAAGGGAAGAGGAGGCACATGCCTTTGTCAGTGAGGCCCTTGCACCCCAGGGCAGACTAGAAAGAATGTATGTGGATGAGAGGATCCTCCGTGCCAGTGTAGAAGGCGATGCGGAGTGGCTGAATGTCTTTCTAGTGGTGGTAATTAAGGATGCGTTCGGTGAAGGGCCCGGGTCGTGGCTTCGCCCAGAGGGGCTGGTGACTGCAGTGTTGCTCATTCTCCGGACGCCGAACCTTCTCGAAGAGAAGCCTCATGGCCGAGTCGGCATGAGGGAGGGGCTTGGGTGCTAAAGGCCTAAGGTGTGGATGGCCAGGGGCTGGGGAAGGTTCATATTCTTCGAACGCCTCGGTGTGATAAGACTCGTAGTCTTTGGAGTAGTACCGCCCCTAATTCTCTGAGTCACCTGCACCTTCTCTTGCTGGTAGTTGATTGGGCTTCGGTTGGGGGCTTAGGTGTGCCACCCTTGGGTCTTTGGGTTTAACGGATATGGGGATTGGGTCTGTTTGACAGTCCAAGAGACGGTCCATGCAATCCTTGTAGACCTTCACCGGTTCATGGGGCCGATCCCTCGATGGGGAGATGTGAAGGAGCCGCAACTTAGTTGTCGCTGGGTAAAGAGGGCCTTTACCCTTACCAAGCCTAGGCTGGACCGGGGCGCTATGGTGAGAGGGCACTAGCTGGCTTGGCTAGGTGTGGCCAACATCCTAGGTAAACTCAAGTTGGGAACCCGGGGCCTACTCCTTCTCCCAGTTATGCTTCAGGGTGCGATAGTCATGCTCGAGCTCAACGTTCTTGGCATGAAGATGGTCGTATTTCTCGGACATCTTGGTGACGCTAGCGCGGAGGAGCTCCACCTCTGCCTAAAGATTGACATCTGCCGAAGATTTCCTTCGGGAGGTACCCTCGCGGGGGGTATGGTGCGGAGTGTCGTGGCTATCCTCGGTTAGCATAGCTGAATGTGGGGTAAAGAAGAGGTGATTGGGCCTGATGGGAGAATGAGCCAGCTGGGCTGGTAGAGAAAAATGGGATTCAAGTATCAATTCCCACAAATGGCGCCAAACTGTTGATGCTCTTTTTCGGAGAAGGTCAACTTAGAGAAAAGGGGTTTGCCTTCAGCAATGGAGAAGGTGTGGACCTTCGATAAGGGGCTAGCCTGCAGAAGACAAAGTAGGAGAAGCAATCGTTAAACTTCGGACACCAATGTGGTGCCGGCCGAAGGCTCTCCGATGCTTAAGTTAGCTAAGAATAGTAACTTTGGTAGAGTAACAGTAAAAGGAAAGAAAGTAGTTACCCCCTTTTACTAGGGTACTGTTCCCTATTTATAGGGAAGTGAAAGTGGGAGGTTTGTGTAGAATTTCGATGTGGGACTTTATGCAAGTCGTTGTGGTGGTGACACGTGTCATGGAGATTAGGTTCAGCAGTTTGAGAGAGTCGGCAGTCGGGAGCTTCGGCATGTGTCTGGCACCTTGGAAGAGTGTCTTCCTTCGGCAGGGGAGAAGTCGTGGCTGCCTTGGTGCTAATTGTTTTGAGGCTGGATATGCTCAGTTGATTATGGTGTAAACAAAGAACAAACCTATACCTTGTCTAGTATGGTTTGGAGATGACCGAACATGTTATTTGTACATTCATTCAGCTAGTTAATATTTAAATCATCAATGTTTGGCTGCAGACTGACACGAGGATACTCTATTAGCTTAGGTGAAACCACTTTTTTGCTTTGAAAATTTAAGACTCATGACCTTCACATGTTCCCCAAAAGTTGCTTACCGAACATTGAGATTCCTAGTTCTCTTTTGACAAATAAGGTTTGCTGTTTACAACTAGTTTAATTTCTAAATCAAGTGAAGGCATTATAAAATTCTATTATGAAAACTCGAACATAGTTTTCGACTTGATGATTAAAAGTCAAAATCTCTCTCTCTCTCTCTCTCTCTCTCTCTCTCTCTCTCTCTCTCTCTCTCTCTCTCTCTCTCTCATTTGCGTAATACCTTATTTTCATGTTAATTTGAAATGTAAAATTTCATAGACAAAAGAAACCAAATCTGTTTTGGGTATCTGTTGTGGTTCCAATGGAATAAAAACTGCAGATGCACTAATTTTGTTTTATATACACTTTCCATGCACTTCTTTTATATATCAGGTGGGTGACTGTTTTCAAAGTTGGAATTGTTTCAGGCTTTATTGGTTTAGCTGTAATGTATTTGGGGCTATGATGTCCAGGTTGGTTAATGTATTGAATGATGATTATTGAATATTCGCCTTATACTTGATACTGCAAAAGTCTTTGAGTATATGTCAAATGCTTATTTTTATTGAATTTTTGTCATTTGTTTGTATCATTTGTGCTTTATTATCTTTAGTTTTCTTTTTTTATTGGTAAATTTGAAGTCACAACATATCTTATTCAAATTTAGTACCTTGCATTTTTTAAGCTTATGTTCATATTACACACCATTTGTGTTTACATTCTATATGTTTTGTTTTCCCAGTATAGAGCTAGACGGAAAGACATGTACACCCAATAAATGGAATTGGATGAGGTGCGAGAAGAATTGGCAACTCATGTCCTACAATGGCTTTTTGATTGAGCTAAACATTCCTTCATTTTTCATGTCTTTCTAGCTAGTATCTTGCTTATACATAGACAAGTATGGATAATTTGTGGTGTAGGGCTGGAAAAATTGTGATTTGGATGTGACACGTATGAATCATTCAAGTATTTTGCTTATATATAGATAACTATGGATATATTTAAATTACTGTTTATATAAAAAAAAATTATTAGCAATGGCAACACAACATGATTTGGAAATGATGCCTTTTTGATATATTAAGCAATAACCAAGTAAAATGTGATGTGAAACAAGCAAAATATCTACACTTTCCTTACATTAAGTGATGCCTATTGTTTATAATAACTTCAATTTTCCAGAAATAACTGAAGTTGAAAGATAAAAACAACCACCAGACATCTATAATCACTGATGCCTAAAACTAGAAGTAGCATCAGCATTTATATAACAACTAGCACTATTGGAGGCTTTTAATGTCTACAATTAAAAAAAGCGATGACATATAACATAATTCGCAACAACACTATTTGTTTCTGCTATGTTATAATTGATAATACACATCAGTATAGTAGATACCACTGATGTTGTAATACCTCTTTAGCCTCCCTTTTGAAACTACTGATGCTGTTTCGGGTTTAGGCGTCAGAGGTAAACGTTTTTTTGGCACACAGAAATCATTTACACATCGGATTTTACCAAATATCCGATGTTGTAATGATAAAAAGGCCACGAATAATATCCGTTGCCTATTACATGTAATAGGCAACAGGCTTGAATACCACGGTATTTATAAGTAATAGGCAACGGATTTTATCCGTTGCTAAAAGCCTTTTTTGGCATAGTCATGTATAATATAGTGCTCACGAAATTTAATTAGATCAATCCCCATAAAGGCCCCCAAGAAACCCCTACCTTGACACCAAAGCTTTTGCTAGAAATGTAAGGTGTTTTCCCAATTTTCCACCGTATCCACAAACTCAGTCTCTGACTCTTTTGCTTAACAATTCTTCTTCTCTCTAAATTTCTTCCTAATTTCTCATGTTTTGAAACTATATGGTTATGCTCCTATTTATAGTGGTTATAGGGATAGGATAAACTTCAATATTAAAAGGATAAGAACATACAAATTTATCCAAAAGATAAATATCATAACAAGATAAGATAATCTAAGTTTATCCAAAAGATAAATATCCTAACAAGATAAGATCATCCAAGTTTATCCAAAAGATAATATTGTCCAAGTTTATCCAAATGATAAATATCTTCTTTTATCCTTTTAAAATATGAGTCTTCACAATTAAACCCTAAATATTTGATTGTAGTGGATCACTGTGCTGTTTTCAAACTAGATGTAGACTACAAAGCCCAATAAGAAACATCTCAGTATTTTTGATGGTTGTTTGGTTTGTTCCTTTATCTCCAACTTGTCTTGGTTTGCACTTACGATACCATTGGTTACCAAAGTTTAGTTGGATTTTTATCACATGTAGGAATGGTAAAATTGAAATTAGGGGTGGACATCAATTCGGCTGAACTGATGAAATTGGCCTAACCAAACCTTAATTAACGGTTCGGTTTGGTTTTGAGTAAGAAAAAGTCGAACAATTTAAAAACAGAACCGGACCATATATGGTTTGGTTTGGTTTGATTTTGAGCTTTTGTAAACCGGCCTAAACCAAACAGGATCGTTTATGTGTTATTTATATTATATTATATTTTACATGTGTAATACTCTAATTAGGTAATAACTATATATGGATATTTTAAATGAGCTATATTAGTTATTGAAATTTGAAGTTTTATAGCATGTTGAGCTTTAGGATGGTTTCGTATTCTATAAAATGATTTAAGGGAGCAAGTTGTGAATTTGTTGTTTGTAATTTGGCTAATAATATTGAAAAATGCAAAAAGAAAGAGAATTTGGGCTTAAGCCCAAACCGGCCGAACCAAACCCTCTAAAATTGGTTTGGTTTTCTTTCATGATTTTCGTCAAAACCAAATCAAACCAAATTGTTATATTGTAATTAGTTTGACTATGATTTTAAGGTGAAACTGATTCAATCTGAACCGTACCCACCCCAAGTTGAAATTGTGGATCACTTACCAAGTCGATGTAACAAAATTAATAACTCTTGTGTTCAGTATTCTCATACAAAATTTTCCAGAGTTAATCAACTTATTTGCCCTTATCGCAAAAAATACATATATTCCTGAAAATTATGAAAATTATATACAAAAATGGGAATTTTCATGGGGGCATTCCATGGCTAACAAAAATACAACTAATTATTATTCAATAGGAAGTTTATACATAGACAAACTCATGATCAACGAATAGCAACAACTACAATTGATTAAGCAGGTGCATATATTCAAATAAATTTGAATGTTCTGCCGTCTCTTTATCCTTCCATAATTAAGCATGTGTTCATATTCAAATGAGTGATGCTATTTGTACCACATTTACTAATCACATATTGCTAACCACTTCTGTAATAAAGGTGAGTTCCACATATATTAGTGGCGCCTACTACTATTAGAGAGACGATCAGCAAAATCGTCAATAAAATGTGATACAAATAGTATTATTGTATTCAAATATGCTTACGTTGACATGTTTTTGTGATTAAGGGCACTTAGGCTTGTTTCCATGTGTCTTGAGTTTTGCATAACATGGGCATGCTTTCTTGTTCCCATAGGTGCCTGGTGGAACGCAGTGGCATCTCTTGCAACAAGATTTGCATGCTCGCTTGCATATCTTCTTTCTTGATGTCTTCCTGCATCTCCTCGAGCATGCATAGTCGCAATCTAAATTAACCCAGAAAATAAGATTAAGACATATAACTTATGATCAACTACTGTAATTGTCGTTTTAATTGTAAAATTTGTCTCTAATTAGTATAGATAAAATTCTTTGGAGATTTTTTCGTAATAAGCTTGGCATCGCCTGCTACTTTACAAAAAGAAAAGTAGTCGCACTTTCGTTTTCAAGATTAGATTAGATGGTGATCGTCCGCAAAGTTATTTTTTTTTTTTTTTTTTTTTTTTTTTTTTTTTTCTTTTGCGATAGGGCGAGGGCTGAAATCTGAAAGAACATGTCATTAATTGATGTAGAAATTATAACATGACTGTTGCTTACAGCTGATTATAAATAAATGAAGTTTTCAAAGTGGATCAAGATATAAACAAATGAACTGTTCGCATTAGTTAAGCACCTAGAATTATTGTAAGCTAGCTAGCTTGAGGACTTATAATGAAGAATATACAAGATATATGCCCTTATAGCAGAAAAAAGATTAGAAGGATTAGAAAACATATATATTCCAAATTACATTGTAGTTTCCTTTATAATTTGGCAATTAAAAGCTTAAACTAACCTTGTAATTACGAGAAATTATAGCCATGTGGTATAATTTGTACACGTTATACAAGTAATACCACATGGCCATACTCTATAAGACAATCACTTAAATCATTCAGTTGAAGAAACGTGGCAACATTATCTAGTGTTGAACAACTTACTGATTTTGGGAAGATGATGCACCTTCTTACTAAGAGCTACCACTGCGTAATTTCCTTCCTCCGTCTGAATTCCAAAAGTTAGACAAATGAGAGCTCGAGCTGATTATCACGTTTTCTCTTACATTGAAAATTAATGCTTTTAATTTCTCTAGATCTATCATGTATAATCTTTAAAAAAAAAATTAATAAAGGAAAAGATTATGTCACGATTGGCAGCAAGGGAAACTGGAAATCAGTTACACAAAAGTATTCTTTATTTATTTGCGTGTTTGAACCAATTAACTCTTAGACCAGTTGTATTTATCTTCTCGATGTTGGAAAAGGTCTCAAATTCGAAACCCTGACTAAATTTAAAAAAATTGCTCGTTTGAATCCTAAATGTGCGTATTTTTTTTGTTTCAAGTTGTATATCTTACTTTGGTTCAATAAGCAATTCAGAAACCTCATATATATAGAGACCCATAATCTTTGAATTATGAAGAACAAAATTAAGGAAAGGAAGGCGTACATTTGTGGTAGAATTTGCAGCATCACTGAATGGCGAAGCCTCTGCAAAAGCCTGCCAAGAATATTAGTATTAGACATCAGAGCATGCAGTACAAATTAATACTGTTATCACTGCATGATTAACCAATTTAATTAATCATAATGTTATCACTGCATACATCAGTTTTGTTACAATGTACGTACCTGCAGGAGAAGAACGGTGATAAGAAAAATGGTGAAGAGCTTCATCTTGTGATGTGAAGTGTTCTGTTTGTGCCTAAAACGATAAGGTTCAAAGAAGAGGGAGGTCTTTTATAGACTAGTTTTGGGTTAAATTAAAATTATTTATTTATTTTTTTCATCTTGACATTTATCTTCTCAGATTCACGGGCAATATTGAGGCAAATTCACAGGCATTCAGTTGAGAATGCTCAGCTGGTAGCGAGCTATCTACATGTTTTGCCACAGGTAAAAAGACCCTGTTTTTGGAAAAGAACGTCTTTTTGGAACCATCTCTCCCTTTATTCTTGTTGCTTTTTACTCGTGTCTGTGTCTGATCACAGCTGTTGATTCTTTGGCCTGTTGTGAGAGAGAGAGAGAGAAAGAGAGAGGTGGTCCTTCCCCCAACCACCACTTGGGCATATACTCTCATGGCTTGGCTTCAAAATAACCAAAGCTCATGGAGAAATCAAAATGAAAATTGATATCAATGGAGAATGGAAAAAAGAAAAGATATATTTTAAACTGGATTAGAGAACAGCACGTACAAACACTAATCTGAAGAAGTCATAAATTTTTTTTTTCGAGAAAGAAATCTGGATTTATGACATGCATATTTCGTTTATTGTTTTCTTTTTAATTTTGGAATAAATAGTTTTTAGGAAATTATTTTCTAGATTAGATTTATTTTTATTAAGTTTAAGATTTTAACATTTTTTGTTGTCAATTAAGTTTTATGAATTTTGGAACAATTAGAGTTTCCTACTATTTTAGGTTTTCATGATTTATATTTACACCAACTTACGTCATAATCGCCAATTTATCATGTTCTCACTACTACAAAAATCAAAATAGACGACGAGAATCTACCGTCATCTAGACGGTTTTTAAACTGTCGTTAAATCGATCGTCATCTTTTGATACATAGAACAACGATGGTAAATAACCGACATCATTCAGACATAAAATGAACTAATGTGCCATATACCTTCTTAATTTCTGCTTGATTTCGACTTATTTTGGCTAAGTTGTGATTAGAGAACTGATTTTAATTCATTCTACTCGCATGAATGAGGAAAGTAGGGTGGGCTATTTTCTACTTAAATCTTGGTAGGATCCATCACTATATATAACAACCCAACCTAAACAAGGCCTTTACACGCCGTTACTTCTGACGCGCGCATATGCGCATGTGAAGAAACCAATATGTATATACATGATATTAATTAGAGGGCAAACCGAGCCCAGCGAAAATGGACTAGATTAAAATCCCTAAGACCATCTCCAACCCTTGGGTTGGAAACTCAAATTTTGAGTTTAGCCTCCAAAAACCATCTCCAACCCATGTATTTTGAGAGGTGAAAATTTGAGATGCCTCAAAATTGGACTGGAATTCCACCCAGAATTCTGCCTGGATTGATAAATCTGTGAGGCCCAATTCTGCTTTAATAAATATTTTTTTATTGCATGATGTGAGAAGCCCATCACGTGGGCTGTGTTGCTGGCAAGTGGGAATGAAGATTCCCTCTAGTTTATTGAAAAGCAACAGCTATTTTTGGTATGTTTTGTTTTTTCTTTTTTTTTTTTTTTTTTTTTTTTTTTTTTTTTTTTTTAAATACATATTGGATAATCAATGATGTTTGGGAATTTTAATTTTTTTAGGTTAAAATGTTTAGAAAGTTAAATCACGAGTATTGAAACAAAAATAATGTCAAGAAAAAAAATTAGGGGTTAATCATTCTTAAACAATTTAATAAAGTTGCGGACTCAAATTATGAGTCTGCAAGGTTGGAGGAAAAAAAATTTTGAGTCCTGAAAATACATGAATAGTTGTATTTTGGAGGATGGAAATTTGAGTTTAGCCCCAACATGGTTGGAGATGGTCTAAACGGCAGCTAAACACTAGCAGTCCTGTGTAATACTGGTGGTCAATGTTTGGACATAGACTCTTTGGATGCAGACAAGACAAAGTTGAGTTGAGAGAACGTACGTGGTGGAGGAGGTTTTAACTTGTAAGCAATTTTTTGTGATATGTTGGGTTATCAAAGCTCAAAAAGGGTATATCAATGTCAGTCCTATTCACGTATATTGTTAATAATGCCATGAAATTACAAGTATCACATTCACCTATCTATATATGTTGCTATGTCAAATACGATGACATTTATTAGAAAACATTAATGATTTCTTATGGACCATTTGATTCAAGTTTGAATACCATTATTCTTTGGTACTTACGTAATATCGTAAAATAATCAAGTAAAAAAAAAAATAGTTAAATTTGTTTATACCCTACTCCTAATTTGTACATATGAATGAATACAAGATACGAACAAATGTGGTTTAAAGTTAATAAATAAGGTACAAAAAGATGTCATGTTCCACTACTATCACTTAGCAGCACAGTCAAGTTAGCTTAAGAGCTAAGAGAATCATGCAATGCAAGGTTCTTATTACTTTGAGCTTTAGAATTACTTGAGCCTCCTTACTTTGAGATTTAGAAACCATGTTCGGAGAGAAATATAACCTGCAAGTGAAAACAACGATGGTTATTTGAAGGGCTTCTTAAATTTAAGTCTAAAATGATTAGCTGTCATTAGGTTTAGTCCTCGCATTTTTGGTTTTAGATGTAAGTCCTTTGACATTTATTACTTTTTTTTGTTTTGTCGATTTTACAAATAAGGAAAACACATTGAAAACATAAATTTAATGCATTATTTCATTATAATTGAATTCCATAATTTAAATTTTGAATTCTTTCCTTGATAATATTCCTAATATATGGATAAAATACAATTTAATCAATAAGAAGTAAAGACCCACACATTATACCAATCGACCAGACAAGCACCCACATTAAATTATGCACCTGACATACAAGTAAATAGTGTTATTATTAGCAACGAAAAATACTTAGTAAAAATCGTGTTACCTATAAGTTAGGAACATAAATTAGAAGACTACCCATAAGTTAGATACAAAAATAGACAAAATAAAATTGTATATTACCTATAAAAAAAATACAAATTTATAAATAAACCCAATTCTAGACATGTATTTATAAAAAAATCCAAGCACTATTTAAACATAGAAACACACCCAAAATCAACCCCAAAATCAACAATTGTATATTTTTTGGGTGTGTTTATAAATGGGTTTTGAGTGTGTGTAATGATGTGTTTTGGGTGTGTTTATAAAGTGTTTTGGGTGTTGGGTTTTTTTATAATTTCAGCCCCCATTTTGGGTGTTTTAGTGAAACTCCCTAAAAAAAAAGTACATAAAATACTATTACACATTGTCGAAAATATGAAAAAACATATATATATATATATATATATATATATATATATATATATATATATACCTTTGCAATAGGCAATAGGCAATAGGCAATATGACATAAATGACTATTACCCTATTCAAGTCATAAGAGGCAACATTGGAACGAAAAATGATTTTAAAAATAAAATAATAAAAAGATTACAACATAAAATATTTAAAAAGGAATGTAATTTTATGTGGCACAAAAATCAAAGGACTTGGATCACAGTCACCAAATTCGAGGATTAAACCCAAGTCCTCAATAGGAATTTGAATCTATATCAACTTTTCTATTATTTGAAAAACACGACATAATATTAGATTTCAAACATCGGTATATAACTACTACCATCGTGCTATTTCTTTTAGCATGACGATTGTTAACCACCATCGTGGTGTGAGAAATAAAACGGCGTAAACAAGAAAAAACAGTTGTCTTATTAAAGCAAGTCCACCCTTGCTTCAAAACCGAGCAAAAGGCAGCCCAGGGGGGAAGGAAGCAGCTCCAGCGCATAAAGGCCTGCCCTGGCAAGAGCTGGGTCCCACGAGCCCAGGCAAGCCCATGGGCAAATTCAGCCTGAGTTGTTGCCAGGGCAAACTGATGCAATGCTGACGTCATAATGACGTTAGCAACCCAAAAAAAATGAAAAAAAAATAGAAAAAAAAGGAAAAAAATTACCAAAAATTCCAGAATTTTTTTAAATAAATACGTAGGCATATTCTTTACTTCCCACACCAAAAACTATATACAAATTCATCTCCTCATATCTCATATGAATAGTATTTGCCTTAGACTTGCCCTAGACTTAGCTCTCATGGGTGGAACCACAAATGCAAAGGCTGACACTATTCACATGAATAGTGGCAGCCCTTACTTGCCTTTTCCTTAGACTTAGCCCTTGCGGGTGGAAGTGCTCTTAAGAGTAAATACATTTAAAAAAAATGTCAGATCCCTCTCTCCCACGATTTATTACGACGGTTTTGTCTTGTTTATGTCGTTTTAATTAACACACCATGATGGCAATCAACTTCGTGCTATTTGTTTACATCGTTTTAATTTAAACAACATGACGGTGATTAATTACCATCATGGTGTGTTAATTAAAACAACGTAAACAAGACAAAAATGTTCTCTTAACACGTCGTGAGAGTGAGTGAAACGACCCGACCCAATTTCCACTTTGGAATTTGGGTCGAAACCTGTTTAAAACTGACACCTAGTACCTGTGGGTCGTAAATGACCAAAATGCCCTGAAAACGATAACACAAACTCTGGGGGCCTAACTCGTGGCTGCGCCTGACAATTGTAGGCTGCCTACGTACCCTTACTGAGGGATCAAGCCACACGTAGTTCTTTCCTCTGTTCTTGACTTGCAACTGGTTCGTTATTTTGTAACTGGTTTAATTATCCGTTAAACATACTCTAGGGCTGACATTTCTAGAGTATCCGGGACTCCGTTTTACGATCCGTCAAATACTATATGATCTTGGAAATACCTAGATCAACGTACTTGAAAATGACTACGATCCAACGGTTCAAACGTACCGAACCCGGAAATCGCACAATAGGCGAGATCCGTTCGAGGTTCAAACATTATCCGAATTAAGATCTGCGAAATCCTACGCGCTCGTGAGGACTAGGAGATTATTCTAGGACTGACTGTGATCCTCACCCTGCTGCCCACGCGCCGCCACACGCGCTGGCAGCGCGTGGTGCCTAAAGCGATAACGCTTCGCCAGAAAATCTCAACATCTCGGCTCAAGACTCCTATCCTAGGTAAAACACCCTATTTGGAACCACTTTTGTTCTTGGACCTATCCCAAAAAGTGGCCGGAAGTGGCTGAAACCGTGATCTCAAAACCGGCCGAACCCTAGGTTCGAAATTAACCGTCTCACGCTAGAAATTCCTCAAATCCTACTCAACCATCAGCTAGATCATGAAAAATAGCTAGAAATTCATACCTCACAAAACCGGATTGGTGGCCGGAGGAGGGAGAAACCGCTGGCCAAAGTTCTCTCAAAAACCGGTCGGAAACCATGGTTTTTCCGACGGTTCGAGGCGGCAGGCAGCGGGAAGATGACCGGGCTAGGTCGGCGGAGTGACACCGGTGGTTCTGGGTCCGGTCTGGTGGGTCGGGGTGGTCTGTGGCGGTGGCTGGGAGGAGAGGGCGGATCAGACTGAAACAGGGGGGGGGATCGCCACGGGAGAGAGAGAAGCTGAGGGTTTTTGAAAAAAATCCTGATTTCCCAAAATTACCATTTTGCCCTTAAGCGTATTTTGACTGTATTTTCTTCATTATAATTCCGATTCGAGCCTAATACATGTCTACGGACTCGTTTCGTCGCGCTCTACGCCACGGTATAACTGAAATCCCAAAATTTCTTCCCAGTCAAAAAGTCAACTTTTAAACTAATAAAATATTCTAGGGGTATAACTGTCTTTTACCAGAATAAATTAATAATTAAATATTAATTAAGGACTGGGTTGTTACAGTGAGAGACTATTGATATTATTTAAAACAATGAAAGACGTCGTTATTTTGAAAACGGAGTCTTGTTTCCAAACACTTTCTTTCATGGTATCAAAATTAGAAATTACTTTGAAAAAAAAATTAAAATGATTTTGACCAAATAGTGAGAAAAAACTTTTGGCATACAAAGAAAGTTTGCTTCCGACGTAACCTTTGGAGATTTGGAGACGAAGGCGAGGAGAAGAGGAAGATGACGAGATTCAGACATGCCGCTTTGGGAAGGAAAACTGAGAAGAGACTAAAATATTTTATCGGTTAGAGAGAACGTAAAAATTTAGGCCAGGTAACGAAAAAATTTATATACAATCACAAATCATAACACGATGGTTTTATAAAAACAGCCCTAGTATGTGGTTAAAACGACGCAAAACCAGTAGAAACAAATGTGGTTGATAATAAAGTCAAACGACTTTTAGTATTCCGAAACTGACGTGGTCATTTACAATTTTACATGACAAAAGTTTACTTTTGTTGACGTGGTATTTATAGTTAATATGTCGCTTGTTTAAAATAAACCGCTGTGGTTATTTACAATTTAACATGACAAAGGAGTATTTTGGTCGACGTGGTATATAAGTTAATACGGTGCTATTTACGATTAAACCATTGTGGTTAGTTTGAATAACCACGACGCTCTTTATGAATAAACCCCCTTGATGTAAAGATAAATTAAGGATTTTCTTCACCTTTACTTTTCTATTAGGGTTCCAACTCTAACTCAAGTCGCATAAGCCCTTAGTTCTCTCTACCCCTCTGAAGGTCCGGATTTGGGTGGGAGGCAATTATTTGGAAGTTGATTTGTTTGCATCTCTCTCACCTCTCTGAAGGTCCAAAACATTATTGACACAAACATCATCAACTTCCAAAATACTGTCTTTCTCATATTAGTGGTTCGATTGTGATGAGGAACATAGCTCCTACTAATAAGATTTCATATCTTGGGATCTCATTTTCATTTCTCTGACGATTTCATTTAGTAAAAAAGCCTAAAATTATATCGCATACGATAGTTTTCTATATAAACCGTCATAGTTTTACTCCATACCTGTCATTTTGTTGATCTACCATCGTAGGCTACCAAAATCCAAATTAAAGACGACAGTATTCAGAGAAGGACAATCGTATAAAAAGAATATAGACGACAATAGTTTTCATTTAACGATGTGGAAAAATAACATAATATGACACTAAAAATGAAGAAACCAACGTGGTTAGTAAAACAACCCGATGCTATATTCTAAATAACGAAGTGGTAAATTGCATTTACCACAACCGTTTATTTATACAGACTGTAGTAATAAAAAAAACCCACCGACGTCTTACATAATAAAATTATTAAGTGGGCTTTTCTTTTCCTGGATGTAAAGATAAATTGGGGCTTTTCTTCACTTTTACTTTTCTATTAGGGCATTGGGTGGATGTCGAAAAAATCACAGGGTTCGTCATGAATTCTGAAGAATTAGAGGCGAGTACTGTCATGGGGTGGATGTGGGTGGGGAATGGGGCGGGGGAGGTTGCGGGGTTAGGTTGGGATGGGGGTGGGTCTCATCTTGTTTTGGCTATACTCAAGGGTGGACCCAGGAAATTTTATAAGGGTGGACTAGTATTTTTAATGGGAGATCCATTATATTACCTTTTTTTTCTTTAGGTTTACGTGGTTTTTTTGATGAGGGGTTTACATGGTTAATTGGCTATAGGCTATAGGTTATTTTTTATATGTAAAGAAAATGAGTGGTAGCAACTATTCTTCAATTAACAATTTTTAAATTTGATGGGAGTACACATAGATGTAGGGAGTGCAGTCATATAGATTTACAATTGCACAATCACAAGCTACAAGCATTCAACAAAACCAAGAGACAACTAGACTATATAAAAGCAAAGATCAAGTAATGAATAGATTAAATTAGAAAAATGACAAGTCATCAATAAAATCATAGCAAATTGCATAAGAAAAAAATCCCCAAAATTTAACACACAAACTCTAAATCATAAAAGGCTAACAATAACAATTGAAATTGGAAATTAAACAAAAAGTAAGAGAGAAACTTACTAATATTAAAGAACCCATTGGATATAGGTTGATACAATTTTAAAGAGGAGGAGACCTCCTACTTCTAAGCTCTCAAGTTCAAATATAAAGTTATAACTTACATGGGTGGGTAATAGAAAAACATGATTTATGACGTGTGTGGATCCCTCTAGAGATGAAATCTAAAGGTTGTGATAGGCTAATTTCAACAAAAAAGGGTGGACTCTTTTTAATTAACTTGGCTTTAACTTATAAAATTAATATTAAATTTTTTTCACCTCCAAGTCTAGAGCCCACTCTAGCTCATGCCTAGATCCGTCCTTGGCTATACTTGTGTTAGCCACCGCCCACATGATAGCCTTTAGAAAAAGGCTAAAAGGATGATAGCGGCAGGTCGGTAATCTGGGTTCTTTTTATTTTTGGTTACTTTTTAAAAAACTTTTTGTTATTTTATTCTTGGTTTGGTTTTTTAGTTTTGGTTACTTTTTGGTTACCTTTGTTTTTGGACCGAAATGCCCCTTAACAAAGGCCTTGCATTGCTTAAATTGAAAACTGCATGAACAAAATTGATCAAATTAAAACAATAGGGACCAAAATGATAAAAGTGACAAACTACAAGCACCAAAAACGATTGTTTGTCAAAAATAAATAAAAATGGGTCTTGGCAGCCGAAAAGGGTATTTAAGGGGGGAGATGAGAAAGCGGTGGCTGGGCTCATATTCAATGCCCATTAATCCACCTCCAGCCATATTTGCCCCATAGTAAAACTGAGGCCCAAGCACTTCGACATACAGCTTTAACCTTGTCTAGAGACTAGACATGGGTTGGATTATTAGGAGGATGAATTCATCAGCTTACATAAATACATACATGTATTTCTTTTCTCTTTTTTTTTAAAAGAAAAAAGAAAAAAAAATAGATTGATCCATCAACTTATCAAGAATTTGCTGATGAAACCATGGATCTTCTCGTTACAAGTCAGGAAAGCATCCAAGAAGATGGTGGTTTTGAGCTTCTTGCTCATAATTTTGGGGTATCAATGGCACTTCAAGTAAGCTGTCCAAATTTCTCCAGTCTATGTGCTGATCACTGCCATTCATGTTGCTCCTTTGGTCGTCATAGTGTTCAGTGGTTATATTATTGTTTTGCTGCTCATGCACACCTTGTTTGTTGGCCAAGCTTGTTGAAATGCTTGGGCTCTCTAGTTGAGGAAGTTCTGTGAGTTGGTTGCCCATGAAAATATGGTTTGAAATGAGATGATCTTGCTGATCCAAACCAAAGGATTGATATTGAAAACCTAGGCTCGGGTTCACCATATGCATCTCACTCCCAAAATTTGAGGATGAAGCGTGGCTGTTATGTTCTCTGATATAGTAAGCATGCTTCAGTGCTTCAAAACCTTGCCTGTGGCTAGGGCTTGGCTTCTTGAATGCCCGGCATACAACCCATCCTTCTTCCTGCATTGTCACCACCACGCCGGATTAGTGTCTTCATTATAAATTAATTTTCATAAGTAGAGAAATATCTGCATGATATTGTAATACGACCACAATATGAGTTGAGGATATGGTTAAAATTTTCCGCGTTTAGGGAACAGTATAAAAAAATATCTGCTTATATTATAACATGTAGATGAACTATACCACGTCACCATACTCCACTACCACACTAGTCCAATTTGAAGAATAAATATATGTTATTGGTCTTCTTTTCTATCCTAGTCTTGGCAAAATATTATGAATTAGTGTCTAATACAAGTACTAGTCCATTAGAAATCAAAATTAAATTAGTTACATTATATATTTAGGGGAGTTGATGGGATAGAAATTGAACTTGCCTGAGGGGGTGCATGTTCAGATGTTTGGAGGCGATATTCATGCATGATCCAGTCAGTTTTGTTCCCATTAGGTGCTCGTCCCTTGTAGAACACAAGGGTTTTCCTCATTCCTATAATGTTGTTCTTTGAAAGCACTGCCTTGTCCCTTCCTGTTGCCTTCCAGAATCCGGCAGCCGTGGCTCTATTTGTCCGAGTTCCGGTCGGGTACTTCTTGTCTTTGTGACTGAAGAAGTACCACTCATTCTGTTCACTGTAACCTAGCTTGCATCTTGCTGCACCACACCATACATAAGACACATGTAGCTCAGTATCTATATATTTATGAAAAAAAGAATACGGCAGAAGCTGCACTTTTCGCTTATTAAAAATTTATAAAAGAGGAGTACATAATGACTTCTGGAAATAGTGTCAATAACTCTTTTATTTAACCGTTTCACTTATTTTTATTTATTTTGAGGAAAGCACTTGCAGAAAAATGCGTGGCATGATGCTTACTAAAAAGATGAAAATTGACTAATTCAAAGGAAATAAGTGCATTATGTTTTTTTGCTAACAGAAATATATCAATGCATCTTTCATATGTATATATGATTCCTTTATACAAATTGTCTCATACCCTAAATTTAAAATGTAGTATGAACGTATACATACTTAATTAGATCTATATATTTAATTTGTGCCATATCCATCGATCGAGGTTAATCGATCGAGGTCAAATATCAAATTTAATTCGATCTTCATGTATATATATATATATATATATATATATATGTACCTTGTATGTCCCATGGTTCAATTTTGTACAGGTCAATGTCAATAATGACGTCTAGATCAATTTGTAGTGAGTTGATCTTTCTTTTCAGGTAGTAACCCACAAGTTCTTCTTCTGTCGGGTGAAACCTAAAACCTGGTGGAACACAAGACTCCATGTGATCCATTAACAATCTTCTGGTCTCCGAGCCTGAATATCATGTATGGAAAAAAAAAGTATGAGAGAGGAGTGAGGGAGAGAGATATATATAGAACATCTTCATTATGCTTTTGACTCTACGTGTGGTTGAATATATTTTCGTCAATATCACATCAAATGACAAATAATGATGTGATATATCTTCCTTCCACACACAGCATCTTGAAGCTTCTTTAATTTGTGGGTTTAGGCCTAACATATGAAAAGCCGAGGAGACAAATATTGACTGTTGGAGGGATATTGAAGTGGAATTCTAAAAGACTAAGAGACTAGCTAAGCTAGCTAGTAATGATGGAAATTTCATCACTTTTGTGGAAGTTGTTAGTGGTGTTGCATGTGTTTGTGGCTATGACATTGCCAAAAACAATCATGGCATTTGCAGAGGAAGAGTGTGGAGCCCACCACACAAACATGGCAGATGATTGAATTAATAGTGGTTTATCCTTATAAGTAAGCATAATTAAGTGATTGGGTCAGACTCTCATGTTAGTCCATGACATATGTGGTACTGTTTTCTCCTCTAGAGTTTGTCCTACATGATTTTCCTAAGAAGATTTTAACGAAGCCCTTGTAATCGTGCCGGTTTTTGTGTGCCTTTTATTCTTTATGAAATATGAAAGAAATCTTCTTCTAAAAAAGCATAATTAAGTGATTTCTTTTTAATTAATTGCATATGCATGGAGTAATTAGGAAAAGTATATTGAACACAAAAGTTGGCCGAAAAGCTTGACTTTGCTGGCACAAGCATGTTCTATTTCTTTGAGTGCAGTGCACTCCGGGCCTGCTACCTCCGCCTGCTAGTGCTTAGTTTTAGTGGTGGCTAAGTGCTGGAAATTAAAACATTTCATAAACACCCTACGCAACATAGTTATTTCTTCAAGCAAAAAAACCAGAAGAACAAAAAAATTTGAGAAACTGATATTTCAGCACATAATAATCCAGAATCAATTGAGGTCAATTAAACTCTCACACACCAGCGGAAGATTCCTGGTGAGATCTAATTAAGTTACGAATAAGAAGTTATGATCCAATGTTTGATGCATATTTCATTTCTCAAAATCAAAATGTGAAATTTTATGATGAGATTCAACATTTGCAATACCTAGAACATATATAATTAAGCTATATATATATACATGCTATAGAAGGATTGACATAGATTATCAAAATAACCTAGCTATAAGTACCCCTGTCTGTGTAGGTATAATATATATGATATGTAATATCAAACACAAAAATACTCACAGGAAAATAAATAAATGTATTGCTGCTGTGTGTCTTTGCGCTGGCCAAAGAGAAAATATCAGGAGATTGAAGCTTCTGTTTCTGAGAGATTGAGAGATCGAGATCCACAGAGAGAGAGAGAGAGAGAGAGAGAGAGAGAGAGAGAGAGAGATGGATGGAGGTAGACAGGAAGAATGCAGTGAATATAAATTTTTGTTGAAGAAAAAGAGAGGCTAATAAATGTATTTATATGCATGGAGCATGGAGCTTTAGATGAAGAAAAGATGAGTAGATGAAGAAGAGGGAATTAAGAGAGGATAGAGTGGTAAGGGTATTGATTACATGAGGATTGCGCGTGGGGTGGCAGCTGAGAAAATGAGATGGAAGGTTTATTTGGACGGCGTCACACCAAGTTTTCACGCCACCCCCCGCCCACCGCTATTTTGTTCCCTAAGCTTTTCCATATATATCAATTCAATTATAATATATATGTACTTTTAGTTTTTTTTTCCCTTGTTTTTTTATAACTAAACTAGGTTTTAAGTTTTAACAACTCCACACTCACGCACTCTATGTCATGCATTTATCATCCATCACAAAATCTTAGGAGAGATTCAAATGCATTGTGTATTGTTGGATGCGACTGTATACAAGGTGGTCCAACGATTCGAATTGTCTGGTTTGAGAATAATCTCTAAAAACCAATCAACACAATCAGATTTTCACTAAATTAACCAACCCTCTCACATAGACATCCATCATATTCTCTCCTGAGTATGACTTGGCTCCGTAAGATTGAGGAGGAATTCCTGCTTACAACCAATGTGATTTTGGCACTTGTTAAACTTCAGCAACATTGACAAAATTTCAACAACAAAAAAATAAAATAAAATAATTTGACACTCGTCAAAACAACATTGGTTGTAAGGAGGAACTCCTCAATCTTGAGGAGCCAAGCTTTTTCTTTCTCTCCTCTCACTATCCATCCTATCTGTTTGGTGTGCCGCCCTTTGCCATTTGGCACCATTCATCTACTGCCACCTATAGGGCCATGTCAGATTTCCAACCTGTCCATATCACAGAACCAATCATTTATCCTTAATTTGTTCGTATATTTATACTTTTTCCCTGCGCAGATGAGTCCCGCCAAAGTCATCCATCACGATCACTTCTCTTTGATCACTAAGGTTTGGTTATAAGGGCTTAATTAACCTTTTCTTATTCATTAATTAATATATATGGAACAAGAATAACCTTTCTTATTGATTAACAAGGGTTTGGCTTGGCTGTAGCTTAATCTGTCAGTCCTTCATTATCAGTCTTGGGTTGATTTAAGATATATAAATCCATAGAACAAGCAAAATAATTAATCTTTTTTCACTGATTCAGATAATTAAAAAAAAGTTTGCGAGCCCTTTACAGCTATGGCTTCTTAATATTCTTAAATTAACATTGTTCTTCTGTTGGAAAAGGCCACCAGGAGGCTCAAATTAAATGCTATATACACACAGATGTTCATCTCAAGAGATATCTAAATACCAGTTTCTAGAGATTTGAACACCATTTGAAGATTGCTCTATCACCTGTATTGGTGTGATTTTGGATTGACGTACCGTCCCAGTTGTGATTATGTAGATTTCGTGCTGCAACAGTTCAATCCAAGTTGACACCTCCTCACCCCGAATATAGAGTTGTTCCGATTCCAAATTTTTAATTGTTTTTCATGTTATTTATCTTTCTATAAGGAGATCTTCCATTCGTTTACCATTAAATTATTATTACGGCTTTATTTATGATATGTAACCAATTCATCTTAGGACATAGAAAGTACCAATATGAGTCGTCTCCAACTTAGATCACAGTGGCCTAGTTCGAGGTTAGGTTACTTGGGGCGCAAGTTATCAATTATTCATTTTTTATTAGGCCCCCTGCACTACATATATACTACTAACAGTGGTATGCTCGCATCCAAGACAATGTCCTTCCTTCTGCCTGATGCTAAAGAAATTTGAGGTCAACAAGATCTTATGATATCTACCGACTTTCCCATACTCTCTGTTTTATAACATAGTGTGTGATTTTTCCATTCATATATAATACTCTCCATCGAACATGGTATACTAGATGATCATTCTTATCTCGTTGCTTAGAAATTGCTTTCATCGTCATTGCAGAAACTATAGCAGGATTAATTGCTTAAATTAATTGACCAGACCACCCTAATCATTTCGTTTGGAACTAGACTTGTCAACTTGAGATAATAAAACAATGGAACAATTAAAGCTATATTAAGAGAAACAAGACAAAGGCCAGTGCTAGTGCAATATATATACTATAGTATTAGCAAATAGTCATTTTTTAAGGACAATAGTTAGGTGCACTTTGGGGTACATCTATTTATCCACTCCATTTTAACAAATCTTCACCATATACACTTGTCATAATCGGAACTGTTCATCTTAAATCGCTATTTCAAGATTATTTATGCACAGAAAAAAAATTATCAATCAAATTTGCAACCACTTAGTCATCCCATATGTATCAACTAAATGAATAATTCATCATGGTCTTAATTGCATCCAAAACTATCAATTTGTTCGATACATATGGATAACTAAACAATGTCTAATTTGATTGATTTTGTTTTGTTTTTCTTCTTTTTTTTAAAGATGATCTTTAAATAGTTATTTAATAAGATTAACAATTCCGCATGACATGTGTATGGTGAAGATTTCTGTTCTAAGTATTAGATAATTTTTTAATTACTAAAAGTTGGAAGATAATTAAAGGTAACTTTATGATAGATGGCGTGTAATCAAGAAAGGTTTTCTACATAGGATCTCATGCTAGACTCTTCCGTTTAAGTAAAAGTCTGAGAGTGACCGTTCTCATGACTACTGTGTCATTGCAAAAGAAAAAGTACAAATATACAAAGTAAAAATGAAGCATATTTTTTTTCTTTTAGAAAAAATAAAATAATAAAACAAGGAAAGAAGGAAAGGGCATGCTGATGGGTCAGGACTCATGAGAACATGAGTTCTCCATGAAATTAACGTTAATTTAATAATAAATTTTTATATTGTTCTTCTTTTTCTATTTTTCCTACAAATTTAACTTCTCTTTTTATTATTCATTCGTTACTAAAAGATATCTGAAAAAATTATCGCTTTCTCTATAAAAAAAATATATTTGAAAAATATTTAACTAAAATAATACTGATTTAAAAAATAATTTTAGCTTTATTAGACACGTTTCTAGAATTAATTTTGTAGGTACTCTGCATGCTTCATGCTACAAAGAAACGCATGCATGGAAAATGTAATCAAGAGAGAAAAAAAACCCATGTGGATGGCTCAAGTGACCTCCCATCACCTTTGTCTTGTGTGTGAACAAGCTCTATAACCATTAGGTACAAGGAGGAATCACTCATTAGTCCTTAATTATGAGTGCAAAACAACAATGGCAATCATGGTGGCAGATCTTTCATGGATTTCATCACTGAATTGAAAATACTGAAAGTCGGCCTAGCCAATTATGAGAAATTCTAAAGAGTCCCTTTATGGTAAATGTGTGTCTAATCCACATAAACCCTATGTCAGTACCTGTATTTGTATGGTAAAAGAGCCCCTAATGAGGGACATATAATTAGTACATTATAGTCGGTGAACGTAAGGTTTCTAGTTTCCTAAGAAGGAATAAATTATCAACACATCTTCTCATATGGCACCACACACAAATCAAATACATAGAGACAACTCATCTCAAGTGACGTAAAAGCACGTGTGGATGTTGGACTCAAGATGCACATAACCTTTCTCCAATACGATGGTCCAATTCAAAACTATTTGACGATTCTAATAAGATTTAATTTTTTTAAAAAATTCATACCCTATCCCCATCTAGGTTTATCGGGCCTTAATTATTTATCAGTGGACGGATATCTCTTTGACAAGTTCACAAACCTTTTACAATTGTTTTATGCAACGATTATAGTAGAATTGAATTTAGTACCTCTTCCAACAAAGTAGAGAGTTGATCGGTATCACTAGATTTAGTGAGGGCTCATAATGAGTCAAACACCATCTATGAAATATGTATCAACACTGAATTGATGGGATTCTTGATTTAACAGTACTAAACGCATTAAGCCTGAAAATGGATCGATCAATTTGAAGAGGTCTGCTTCATGGCCGGTTGCGGAAATGCCTCTATCATGGTCAGTCGGTGTACCACTTACCTCATCCTACGAATCATTTCACAAAAATAGTAGTAACCAACAGTATATATGACTTTGGAAAGATTCAATTTTGATATTATTGTGGCGCCTCTATTGTTTGGGTCTTAGACTATTTTATTATTATTATTATTTATTTATTTATTTTTTTGGGAAAAGGTTTGATCTTGAATTTGTTGGTCACAAATTCATTGGGGCTGAAAAAAGTTTAGTTTAGTAGTTCGAAGTCTCGGACATAATTTAAAACGTTAACATTCAAAAACTGTTAGACAATTAATGTGGAAGAAACAAATACACACATTTAGTATAATACTAATTATTATTATTATTATTTATAGCAATAAGTGTATTATCAGTATGTCATAAGTCTCATGTGATCGTTTTCAATACACAACTAAATTTTGTCATTAGAAACCCAAGAATAACGTGGTCTAGTCCAATTAAAAGGGGTCTTAACTTGATGACAAGAGTTCTTAGGTTCGAATTCCCCCAATATCATAATTGTGTTTGTGTGAGAAATCCACATTTCTATTGCTTGTACTCAAAACGATTATGGGGTAAACATAAACTTGATGATACAATAACTCAATTGTAAAGAGTGGTTGGTGGGGTTGCTTTAGCAAACAAGAAATAGTGCAAACAAAGCAAGTTGGATGTTTTGGGGCGGTTTGTGGGACTTGTTATTTGCTGCGTCCCACATACATTAATGTATTTAATAGCAACATTTTCAATCCTCCTCATAATATCCCCATCTATTCTATTCAACAAACATTCTAGAACCTACACATAGCTAGCTAGCTAGCCAAGAGAGAGAGGTTAAACGACCAAGCTTGAAAATGACTTAAACATGCTCAAGAAGAAAGAAAGAGAGAGAGAGAGAGAGAGGCTTTGCAAAGATTGATAATGACATGTCTCCTCACACACCCAAGTTGTCCTTTTTATATTTCCCTAAATGTGGTATGAGACATGGAAGGCTTAATGATTACTTGTGGGGTTCTAATCCGTTTGTCTGTTCTTGTTCCTATACGATCCTCCTTTTTTAAATGTATAAAATTATTTACAAGAGACAACATTCATCTTCCTTGGGTGTGATATAGCAACCAACCATACTATACAAGTGAGATGCTACTCTCTTTCCACTTGCAAGCCAGCTCAAGTAGTTCCCTAGCTATTCATACTGCGAGGTGGATGAAAGGTTAAAGATGATGATCCCCTGGAAATTTTGTTTTCTAAGATTTGTTTGGCTTTTATATGAAACTGTCACTCATTTGAAGATGAAGATCACTTGTGCAACCCACTAGGTTGAATTATCTAAATTGTCTATTTTTAAGTTTCAATTAAGAGATTATATCCTTACCCAAAAAAAAATATATTATAAAATCATTTAACCATTCGAACATTATGGAATTTTAGTAGCTATGAGAAGCATTGTATTCATTTATTTATTTGCTAGAGGTTTCCATAATTCCTAATTTGGATAAAGGATAAAAGATCTATGAACTAATACTCAAAAAATAAAAGTACATATCACTGAACTACAACGCAGAGCAAATCTTACAAACAATTCTCACTTCTCCTTTGGTATATCAATTAGCTTATAGAGAGGATTTTTGCACATAAGAAAAATGTGAACATCCTATTGTCGGTATGAAATCTAATTATTAGAACCATACATTTTGTAGATTCTCAGTTGTTTCCATAATTTATGTTGATGCATAAAAATCGTTCAACCAATCAGAGTGGGGACAAACCAAGTCAACCCTTTCTCAAGGACGAACTTGGTTAGGATGTTGCGCTTGTGTATATCTTGTCCCTACTTGGAGTGGCTAAGTAGGGGCATTGCTGGCTTCTATTGCTGAAAAAGAAATAGAAGACGGTCACTAAAGAGGTGGTGGTGGGTCCACGAACTACCATCCAATGCCTAATTCAGTATTTTCCCTTAAAAAAGGTTACCAAAAGTACTGTACTTAAGTATTAAGGAGATTCAAGTTACCGTTTTAAGTGAAAAGTACTCCCTTTTATAAGGAATGTTAGACCTTTCTATTGTCCATTTTCAATGTGGGACTTAGGGAGTATGCTGATGACGTGGCATCCGTTAAGTGGGTGATCAGTGGTGGCCTAACGTGTGTCTCCCCTCTTCGTGAAAAGCACGCGTTAGTAGAACATTCTGTGAGCCGTTCTGGACACTCCTTACTCATCTTGAGACTCGTCAGGTGTGAGTAAGGTAAATATCGATTTTGGGCATAATTACCTCCTTATGTCATTTGGGCCTTTATATTTATTAGGCTCTTTTAGGGTAGACCTTATGGATACTTTCGGTGTTCATATTAAAAAATTTATTTTTTTTTTTTTTTTTTTTTTTTTTTTTTTTTTAGTACTATTGAGAGGTGGGAGTTTACACAAATATTCATTGGGTGTTTGGGGATACCTTTGTCTACATGAGTGGAGGTAGAATAGCTCAGCAAACTAAGCTATACCCCTACTAGTTGTTGGTATCAACAATTTAAATGACCGAACAATTGTTTAACAATGACTAATATAAATATGATAGAACCATGTTCTGCCTTAACCCAATGTACACAAAGAACCAACTTTATTACTAAGAAGAAACTAATACAATCAACATGACCTTGGAAACTAATACAATCAACATGACCTTGGCAATGCACAATTAATCAACTAAATAGCTGATTGCAGGCTAGGGATTATCTCCGCTACAAACCAACTAATAACAACCATTTCCAACGTAGTTGATGAGTGAGCAATAATGTATGCTAGGTTCGTATTATTACCCTCCCTGCAAACTATCCTTGTGCTCAAGGATAAGATATGAGGCATGAAATTCTGATGCAACTTGATGACGATAAAAGCTGCATCTTATAAGTCATTGAGCCTACTCGAGCATCATGGTGAACAATAAAATGATAAACTGAATTCTAACCGCCCTCTTCCTCAGTTTTAGTCACTGTGTTGGAAAAGGTAGATTGTCAAAAAAACCCATTTCCTTTAATTTACATATCTTGTAACCAATACTCCACTTATTTAACAAGAGATTGATCCCCTTTTATCTGGCACAAGAAAAGAAATAAAACTTAAACCTCATTCTAAGTAATTCAGAAAAAATAAAAACAACAAAACTCGGCAGTGTTACTCTCTGTAAGCGCATTTCGTTAATTTTTTTCCATGTTTTATGTTTCAATTATAAATCTAATCTAACATGTTTACAAACAAGAAAAATGACAGGACTATAATCATGCATCTATAAATACAAGGCAACTCATCCATTCATGTCTACAAGGAATTTGTCTGATAAGTGTTCAGAGAAACCCGAATGCTCATCAATTCGTGTCTAAAGGAAGTTTCTCTCAAATGAGCCCGAAGAAAACCGTGACGTTAAAGCTTGATTCATGTTTTCTGAATCCAATTTTACACTTTGCCTCCCACCTGACAAATCCTTCTCACGATCCCAAGGCTTCCACGGATGTTTCCCCACCCAGTCCTCCTCTGTCTGTTGCTTGACTTTTCTCTTTGAACGCTTTACGGTCTCCTCTTTGTGTTTTTGCACCAATGATTTTGATCGTTTTTCGTTATTGTATTTGTCCACCAATTCTGCATCTGAACTCTGCTTTTTCTTTTCCACCTCATTTGAAGCAAGGGCTGCAGCCTCATTATACGCCTCCAAGTAACTGCCATGGAAAACATAATATGTTAAAATTTCATACATGTACACACACAGAGTTACATATTACACAAGTGCAAAGCAATCTAGTACACACCCCATCTTAGCTTTCTGGGCTCTGTCTGAAGGGGTATCAGTCCAAGCACTGGTATCACCACGTCCTTCTTTAGTGCTCTTGTTGAATCTGGTTGATTGTGTAGGAGGCATACCATGCTGACAAGAAAAAACCATCAGCATTATGACTAGCTTTCATCAAATACATATAGTCAGTTTTAATTACTGGCTGGCATTCTAACATTGTGATTCGAGTATCAAATTGATGCTCTTCGAAAGATATCTCTCAAGGCCTTATCCGTTTACCTTGTTCAGCAGATTAAGGGTGGGAAATGGGAAAAGACTCAGGTTTTGGGATGAAAGTTGGGTGGGGGAAACAGAATTTGTCCTTCTTAGTGCTCGTTTGTGCTTTAATCCTTCTACTCTTCCTTTATTTTCGAATTTTTAATCCCAGCTAAATCTGAATAATCAGGAAGTAGAGGAGTTAACCGAGCTAATATTGACTATCATAAAGAATGTGGTATTGTTCCCACTTAGATAGGACGAAAGAATATGGAGGTTTGAGTTATGAGGAGTTTCGATTATGGGATGACTCACTTTTTGGTTCCTCTCAAGCAACTAGGGAGGCTAAAGTACCACATGACGTCCAGGTTTTTGGTTGGGTTATTTCCCATGGGAAGATGAATACTTATGATCTGGTGCAGAGGAAACCCTGATGGACACCAGGAAAATATAATTTGGTTCAGAAAAATCCTTAATTTTGAAATTATTGCAGTCTTTAATTTTGAATTGAGTCTTCTAGATTTTATTTTTATTTTTATTTTTTTGTTGGAGTCTTCTAGATTTAATAAGCCTTAGGTTGTCCTGCATCAAGACCAAATTAGTGTCTACCTCCTCATTGGTGTGTGATGTGCACAAATGATGCAGTGTGTGACATTTGGTGCTCCACTGTTCAGTTCCTTGGTTAAGATTGACGATAGAGGATAGTTTAAGTTTCGAAATTCCAGGATCATGCAATAATCCATAATGTGAGAAGTTTCTGTTCTTTCGAGGTAAATATTGGGGTTTAGTGATAGAAAGATGTGCTGTGTTGGAAAATCTTAGGTGGTTTGGATGGAGAGAAATAGAAGAATACAAAAGGCAATTTATATAACAAGATAACACGAATGAAAAAGCACATACTTTCCTTTCAGGTGGCAGCGTTGTCATCCACTCATCTCTTTTTGGTGCCACCTTAACATCCATGTCTGCTAGGAGCTCATCATCACCCTCCATAGATATTCCTGTTGAAAAAACAAAAAGTTTTCTTTCAACTAGAGCAAACAATAATGTCAACACAATTAGACAGAACAATAATTTAGCAAGTGTTTAAATCCAGAATATGGAAGATTCAAGCAAGATATTGATAGTATATTTTAGTACTCCAGATTTATGGAAATATTGAAATTTACTTTAAAACATGGAAAGTTCAAGTAAAACTTTAGAAATGTTATACTAATCAGTAATGCATAAATTAGACATGTAAATTCTGTGAATTAGCATATCTGTATGTTGATTTACTTTTTTGACTTTCGAACATTTACTTGATTGATAAAAGTTAAACGAGACAATAGCTAGCAACCCATTACCCATTACCAAAACTAACTGACAGCAAAACATATAACCAGCAAATAGTCAACACAAGTACACGTAGTAAGTAAGACAACAAAATTAAACAAACAGAAAACCCAAAGTAACCCATTGTGAAGGCATTGGGTTAGCTCAAGTGATGGGTGAGGAAACGGGTTAGGAGGTCAAGCTTTCAATCCCTTCCAATATAACGGATAAAAGAAATAAATACATACGTGGCTTATCGTTATTCCAGATCAAGGGCTGATACCACCATACAGGTTCCGGAAAACCATCAAAAACCAGAATACAAAGGAGGATGGAGAACGGGAGTGTTATCTGATTTAGGGTTTTTCAGGTGCTAATTGGAGGCAGAAAGTGCAGAATAGGGGTTTTGGAGTGTTTGATAGAAAAATTTTGTGTGGTGCTGTTGGGGAGGTTGAAAGGATCATCTTATTAATTGGACAATGGTTCCGAAAACCAAAGAGTTGGCATTCTGTTGGCTAGAGGCCTTATTGGGAAAGCAGTTGTGACATTTCCTGGTTGAAAGTCCCTTGGCATGCAGTGGTTAAAAGAATAATGTTTTGACAATCAAATTGTTGGAAATGGAGACATAATTATGTTTTGACAACACAGTAAGGCTATTTCTATCCTGAATCCTTATTGACTCTGTTGTCTTAAAATTGAACTGGGACTTTGGTTTTAGAAGGAACTTGCACGAAGTTGAGCTGGTGGAGTCATGTAGGAAAATCGGGTGAGAAAGGAAGAGGAGAGAGACCCAAACTCCCCCTGGCCTTTTGCATTGCACAAAAGGTGTATAGGAGTCTCTAACAGAAGTTATAAAACTTCAGGCATCTCACAAGCCTTTGGCATCACACCTGAAGTGCTTTGCAATCGCTATGAGTCAACCCATGCCTCACACACAAGCAGGAAATAACAACAAATATTCAGTACAACATGCAGTTGGATAATTTTCTTGACTAGGAACAACCCCAATTCCGGCTGTGCTCAGATTCTACCTACAGATCAGTTTCTGGTTCAACTTAGCATCCATGTTACAAATAATTTTGTCATTTAGGAAAGGGTAAACTGCCGAATACCACCCTGAACTATATCGACTATTGAACTTAGCACCTTGAATTATTTTTTCAACCAATTTAGCACTCAGATTATTTTAGATGGTCCATTTAGCCCATGCCGTTAGTTTTTAGCCAATTTCATCCAAATCCGTAAAAAATGTCACGTGAATGACATATGCCTCAACAAATAATAATAAAAAAATATATTTTTTTATAAATGTTTTATTGTTTAACAAAAATAATAATCAATTAGCAGATCCACCAACACCGCCCCCTTACCCTTCTCCTCCACCAAATTCTCATCCCTCAGATCGGATGTGAATCACCAAGGCATAGAAAGACAATTACTGATATGTTTGAAGTCACAATATATTTTCCTCTTCTCCTACCCTTTCTCAGCAACCAAACAACCGATTGGGAAGGAGGGAAGACAATATATCTTATCAAATCTTCGACTTTCCAAAGCATTCAAACACGAAGCTTTATACGTCGACGTCAAATCTCTCTCCACCAAGGCCACCTTCCCAAGCACCTCAGCCACGGCCTTCTTCACGGCCCAATCCTCATTGCTTAAAAACTCAACTACACACAGCAGAAGCCAGCCCAACATGCCTCCGCCGTGGCACCAACAATGCTCCCAACAAGCTTCATCACGCAAAACCACACAAAAGCTACTAACTTTTACGATTTGGCACCAACCCAATTCAATTTTCCTTAAGAAAAAACCTATTATATCCCAATTTCCACCATATACAAGAAAATCTTCACATACCCACGAAAGGCTTTCTGATGAGAAGTTGAACTCTGAATACAACATAAAGAATTGAGGAAAACCCAGAAGTTTTCTTCCCCAAAGCTGCCAAAATATTGAACCAAATCACATGTAACACAAAACCCACAAAGAAACCAACCAAAAAGAGCTCGTATTGAGCTCAAGCATAAGCACCCAAACAAGTTCACCTTAATTTCCTTTGAAGCAAGCCCTGAAATTTCCAAATGGCAAATGAGAATGCAAAAATTGAAAGGCTCCTCGTGTGAAAGGGGAGACGGTGGCTTCCGTCGGAGGAGAGGGGAGTCGGTGTTCGGGTGGGGATTTGTTGGTTTTCTTTTGTTCTTTCTATTTTGAAATTATTTTTTTCATTTTTTACATTTTTTTTTTGTACTGTACCTTGTAAAATGGCACACTTACCCTTATAATTAAAGGAAAATTGGATGGAAGTGTAAAAATTTGACGGCAGGGGCTAAATTGACCATTTAGAATAGTCCGAGGGCTAAATTGGCTGAAAAAATAATTCAAGGTGCTAAGTTAGACAATCGATATTTTTCAGGGGGTATTTAGCAGTTTACCCTTGAAAAGCATGACATTAACTTCAACCCTCCTTTTGTATTGTGTGGGAGGAGGGAGCGAGAGAGAGAGATATTAGAAGACAAATTGAGATGAAAATTTCCATATTAGCAAAAAACAAGCTAACCTTGTAACTTTCTCCATTGTGCAGCCTCACGCATTGCTTTCAACTCAACCTAGTGGAGCAAAAAGCTGCCAAGTTATAGGTGATTTTTTCAGAATATTGCTTGATCCAACACAGTGGTGAAAATTCATACCTTAAATTTTTCATGTTCCTCCTTGAGTTTAATCTTGTCATCCAGCACTTTCCGCTACAACAAACAGCAAGGGAAAAAAAACCATCAAAATCAAACATCAAACTGAAAGCTATAGCAGGGGGCCAAATAAAGACTGAATCAAATGACATATCTAACTTCATAGTTTACTATTATTTAACTAATCAGGAATTGACAATGCAATGATAAATCTCTAATTAGTCTTTGATTATGTGATAGGAGTAAGTTGTATAATTATGCATAGATTATGTACTTATGCGAGTGTGATATGAATGCCATATGATTCAAAAAAATGGGAAATAGAAAAGTTGAAAATTATTCTCCGACATACTAACCCATAGGCCTTACTATAAATTGTAATATCATATGAAATACAATGATTTTGACCAAATCATTTAAATTAATCTCTGAGTGTAGAACATAGTTGGAATAAATCCCCTCCTACCAACAAATAATAAATAAATAAAATAAAAACAATAAAAGCCCCAAGATGAAAATGAGTAAACACGAGGATGCACAGATTCATGTGATTGACAAAGTCATGCCTATGGTGATGTAAGATATGGGTGAATTGAGTATTTAGGTAATTTAGCGGAAAGCGAAAACAATGCTAAAACAGAAAGTAGATGGGAAAGATGCCTTGGCTTCACACCAAGAATTCTAATCTCTGGAAAACTAGAGAACCTAGGAAACTAACAATTAAATTAGGAAACTAATCAATAATTTCCTCTTCCATCTCTTTCGTCTGTGTCCTAATGGTTTTGACTAAGATGTCGTCATCAATTCTCCCTGGCTGAGAAAAACTCGACTCCAGTGAGTTAGAATTGTAGTAACATTCCCGAAAGTCAGAATCACCGTGCAAACATATAGACTCATCTTCTGCTTTCCTCTTGAATCCGCTAGAATCAATGAGTTGTAGGAATTCCAACTGATCACTTACACCACTCTCCTTTGCTGAATGTTAATTCAGTCAATGGGAAACTTACCAGTGTCTTCATAGGTTGACCAATCTCACTCGATTCAATCTCTGAGTCCTCATCGCTAGCTGGAAGTTCAGGCGCACAAACTTCTTCCTTAAACTCACCTTGACCATCAGGTTTTACTTGATTTTCCATGTGATTTGTCTTGAAAAGTTCCTCCTTGTTTAGCACTTATCGAATCCTCAATGAATTGCGATTCCTTCTTTGAAGGAACATTGATCACGTTAAAGTTATCCACAGAATGGTGCTTGGATGCTTCTAGTTTTGTAAGACTACAATCAATGATGTCCAATCTGGTGGACTGCTCTCTGACTTTCTGCAGCTTGCTTCGTTAGTTAGAGTTTCTAACATTTGAACAATCCGTTCATAGACCATCTCTAATTTTCATGCCCTAGGAAAAACGATAACCTGGCTCTGATTCCAAACTTGGTGTAGGATATGGGTGAATTGAGTATTTAGGTAAGTTAGCGGAAGAGAAAACAATGATAAAACAGAAAGTCAATGGCTAAAGATTCCTTGGCTTCACACCAAGGAGTCTCCAATCTCTGGAAAATAAACTTTTCTCATAACTCAAATCTCTAATCTCTAAACTCCAATAATGAATTACATAGAAGGGATATTTATAATAATCTAACCCTAGAGTGAAAAGGAAAATTAAACTTTTTATAGGAAAGAAATCCTAATCCAAATAAAATAGGGAACTTGGAAATCTGGAAAAAAACTAGAAATCCTACTGAAATCTGGAAAACTTAGAAAACAAGTTAGAAACTAATCGCAAGAATAAAAAATTGCCAGATTTAAAGACCAAATTAAACGATTTCCTCTTCCATCTCTTTCTTTTGTAAACCCTAATGGGTTTGACAAAGCTGTCCTCATCATGCGGCCATGGAGAGTTTTCACCATCATTACGAGAAAAACAATCGACCCCAACAGCACATTACCTTCACACTCTACAAATCAAATACAATGCATTTCCTAAATAATAACTTTCTTTCAAAATCAATGGCTAAAACAGCAACAATAATGGGTTAGCTAATCTGTCAACTCCCTATAACAATGTAATTGTGCAGAATACTGGTAGCATAAGTTCTAGATTCCAAATGGTTGAAGAAGCTTATCATGTTGTCCGTAGCTAAAATGGGCAATTCAAGCAATGAAAAACTTGTATTCATTATTTAAGAAATAAAAGGCCATATAAACAACCTTAAAATAGCCAATAGCCCTCTATGTTCATCTTCCTAGGGAGCTTCATTATGTTGTGGAGGATTAAAAGTTAGTTTTATTTGCGCCAAACAGTCAATTCTCTGCCACTCACATATGCCCCAGAAATGTTTCTATATGATCCAGTTTAAAGAATGAAAGTAAGCATGCAACCTCAAATGATGACAAAGTGTACAACTGGATTAATTGTTGACGGGAGGGATGCTTCAGATATTCATTGTTCATACAAGTTAACTAAAGCAACCATGACCAATTGGATTGCAATCGATTCCAGTGGATCCTTTTTTCCGTCAATTGAGTGAGGTCAAATTATTGCCTGGGTTCCAAAGTAGTAGGAAAGCGAGCATCTACCTGCCCCTTTAGATCATTCTGTTTGGCTTTTAATAAGTAATTGTGCAAAATATGTATATATAGTCTAATCTCCAGCTAGATGTCCTTAAAAAATTGAAATATAATAAGAGAAACTTCACCAGCCTGAAACCAGGCTGTACATTTTCTTGTAATTCTAGCACAAATAGCAGTTCAGAAGTATAAACTACTATTCTATACAGAAGAAAAACACAACCCAAGTTGTGAAACAAAACTGGTAGATTCAAACCAATAAAACTGTCGCAGTGATCATGCAAAAAATACATAAATATACCTCTCATCCATAATATATCTGTATAAAGAACTCACCTTATCTGGATCTTGTAATTCTTTGAAAGCTTTATTCAACTTAACAAATGCTTGTTGAGCTTGAGGATGCGAGCATTTATCAGGATGCACCAAAAGAGACATCTTCCAATACCTGACAGATAGGATCAAGTGATTAATAAACAAAGAAATCAAAGGCAACATACCAAATAGCATAAACTCAAAAGTCCACAAGCATGTAGAATAGCTAAAATTAACACAACCCTCACAATAAAAAAATTAAATAAATATCAGCTGTTATACCTTTTCTTTATATTCTCAACAGACATATTTTGGTTTGCTCCTAGAATATCATATAGACTATCATCCGCGGCATCCATGATCCTTGTAACCTGATTGGTTGCATGTTGGGCATTGAGTTTAAACAATACAAGAATAAAAAATACCAAATATAGACTACATAAAACCAATAAATAAATTAAATTTAAAGCTGGTACTTTTACCAGCTACATCTGCAATGTAAATAAAAAGTACAGCCCAAAAGACTGTAGGGACAAGGACTATTTCACTCCAAACATCCTTGGAGCCACGAAAGTTCCACAGAACAAATCTGGGAGAAAACCTTAAAGCACCAGAATTAATCCAAGGGAAAAGACTGAAATTTACTTTTGAAATCTCATTACATTGCATTAAGGTCCTATCTCTTTTATAATATGCACCTTAAAATCTAGACTACCCTCTTACTGACTACTTATAGTCACAAGAATTTAAATTAACTCTTACATTTACATTTTTACTAGAGTTCATTTATTAACCCTCTCAACAAGTCTTTGACTACTCATTTAATTACCAAAATGCTCAACAACTCTTTCATCATCTAAGACCAAAACTCTTCGTCGTGCATAATTTATATCTGCTACACATGTGCAAGAGTGTGTAAGAGCAGAAGGAAAAATGAAAGCTAAGACTAAAAAGAGATGAGTTGTGATGATTAAACATGAACTCTCACCCAATCTAAGGCAATATGTAATGCCCTTATTAACTTGAGTATTATGTCAGCGAGTTAAAACAATCATACCTCTTCGAACCGCTCAGCTTCATTAGCTGAAGCAGTTTCAGCAACCATAGCAGGCGGTGGAGGTCCTATAAAAAATTCACTATCTTCTTCCAACTCAGCTTCTCTGTACATATATTATATATATTAAAAACCACGACATTTAAAGTCCTCTCAATCTGAACCATGTCCATAAGTAAGCCCAAATTATAACTGTATTCTAAAAAATAAAACTTGAGTAATTCCAAAATTTGTTTCAAAATAAAGCGACCACTCAATACAGTTAAAGAATATACCTGAGCTCAGCCTGTGCATCTGTCAATTTCGCTGCAGCAGCAAGTAACTCAGCTGATGGCATCGCAGGGCCAATTACCCTGCAATTGTTGCAAACAATCAAAACAAAATAAAAAAGCAAGGTTCTTTTCTTAAGCAAGTGTTATTAGATATTTCATTCAACATATATCAAACACATCAGTACTTGATGCAATATTAAAATCAAGTACAGAACTATACTTAAGTTAAAAATACTTTTGCTCCTGTATTAATTTTAAGCAAACCAAAATGTTGGGGCTGCTTCACAGGAAAAAGCATAGTCTTATTAAAGATTTCTAGAGGAACAAAAATTATCATGACAACTTGTTTTACAAGAATAAGTTTTTCACAATTGAAAAGGAATTTTCAGCACTTTATTATATTTTGTTATCTTTCCACATTCATTTCTTTCGAGAATACTTTGTTATCTTCTCATTCATTACAACATCAACACAAAAAATAACTACAAAGTATAATAGACAAGGCAGTAACGACCGATGAACATCGTGGAAAACCTCTTAATGCAGTTATCAATATGAGAAATTCATATGCAGAGATGGGTCAGAAAATACTAGTGAAAAGGGGTAATACTTTACAAAACTTGGTTTTGTATGGAAGCTGAAATTCATAAGAAAACAACAATAAAGCAGTGCATATAAATATATTTTATAAATTTAAAAACTAATACAAGTTGGTTAACTGGACAAAAACATCAACTAGTAGTTGTGAGTTTTAGATCAAACTAACAAGCACTTACACAATTATAAAGAGTGAAAACAGAGTCACTACCTTCTTTTGGGACCAGTATCATCATCCTCCATGCATGGCACTGTCCTATTATTTTCACCAGCCACTTGTCTGTGTTCCTCATCCAGTTGTTTTGGATGCATCTCATTCTGTCTAGATTGAGGTTCTAAGGATGTTTGAATCATGAGCCCAACAACCTCCAAAGTGGGACGAACATTTGAAGGCAGCAAAAAAACTCCATCATTTTGCTTCAGGTTTAGTGCAAGGAACAACTTCCTTAGATGCTTAATCAAAGATCTTTCTGATATTCCCTTGATGTCAACTGCTTGCCCACCATCAATCATTTCTAAAAGCTATATCAAACAAATGCTGACAACTATCAATAACATTTCATCACTATATCCAATAGGTGAAAAGTAAAACCATATTAGTTCTCACATGTAAGGTTCCAGTCCTATTGCAAAAACAAATATAAAGTAGAAACACAAAACAACCACAGATCGAAGAGATTACTGAGAAACAACTAAACAAAACTAGTGTTTCTGTGTCGATTGCCGGCCCACCATATCACTGTTTATGGTAGCAAAACATTGTCAATTCACACTTTTACGGGCAATCAGAAGAATTATCTTATACAATATATTACTGACAGATTTGAATAAATATACCAAAAGACCATCTGAAAAACATAAAGTATCTTTGACATGGAACCAAAAAAAAACCAGTTGACATGAAAATCAAAGAACTGAAGATAACTACCGATCAGTCTAAATTCATGGCTGGAAAATATTAGAAGTTCTCTAGTTAATATTCAAACTTAATCAAATAGCAAGTCAACAAGAAAAATCAAACTTCAATAACTGACAATTAGTATCATGGCTGGAAAATATTGGGAGTTCTCTGGTTAATATTCACACTTAATCAAATCTTAAGAGTTTCATACATGAATTCTACTCCAACTATTTTGAACATAAATTTTGTTAAGAAGCACATGCAAAAAGGATGATAAGTTTACCTGTTTCAAATCATTCCCAACATTGGGAAATTCGTTGAACAAGCCTTGCAAAATGGCTTGCGGTTCAGCCCCACTCCTACCTGGGTCTGAATCATCACTACTTAAAGACCCCCCAGAACCAGAGTCATCATCAACCCCATAAGCCCTCTTCTTATTGTCCTCCTTTTTGGATTTCCTTCTCCTCGTCTCTCTCTTGCTTCTCCGTTTCTCTCTCCTTTCCCTTCTCCTTTCTTTCTCTCTTCTCGAATTATCATCTTTTCTGTGGCGGTGGCGCCGGTGCTTCTTTGAAGAGCGTTCAGATTCCTCAGAGCTTGAAGAAGACGACAATGACGAATCGTTGTCGCTTGTGTCGTCAAAATGCTTCTTTCTCTTGCTTTTGCTGCCCATTGTAATTTGACAACCCAATAATATTCAACCGACCGAAGCAGAAGTTCCTACTTGTTATTCGATAAGGCATCAATTTAAAGGTTAGCAAAAACCATTACACCTCATCATCAATTTCAGAGTGGATATTAAACTAAAATATACAAAGAAAAACTATGGAAGCTTACCTACGCAAAAGAGCCTTGGTTCGAAACCAGGATTTAAAGCCTGGTGGTGGTGAAGATTTGGTGCCAAAATTGTGCACTTTTTTGTGAGCTGCTTACAATTCTCCACTCAGCAACAATTAAACCCTAAATTATAAATAGAAAGAAACTAGAAATTAAACCGTATATTTTAGAAATTGAAATCAGAAATCAAACTCCAAATCATGAGTAAGAGATTGAAGAACAAAATAGAGGGGCATGGGTGCTGCTGTTAAACTTAAATGAAAAAGATGAGAATTTGAACAACGAACCTGCAAAACCAGAACACGCTGGGATGGGATTTGCCTGCCTGCAACAAATACATGGCCAATATGCTGGGAAGGGTGTGTTTCATTCGAGAATAAACAAGAAAAATAAAAGAAAGGGAGATTTTATTGGCACTCCATTATTTGCTCTTTATAACTTATATTAATTTTAAATATAAATAACTTCTTTTATCTTTGTACACAATTACCATTAAGGACAAAAAAATTTAAAATTAAAATTAAAATTGCTCACTACACCCCACATATGTTCTTGCAATCCTAGTTTGACTTTTTTTCTCAACCTATCATGTTCCTAAACCCTAAACCCTAGATTTATAAGTTTATACTGGTGAAAAAATATCTTGTATTTATTCATGAAAGGTGAGATTGAAGTTAGAGAGACTTCGAATGAGGTACGAGTTTATTTTTTGGCGTTTTGCAAGTTTAGTATTTAGAAACGGTCGCTGGTTGCGTTGAGCACATCAATACCGAACGCAACAGGTAAATTCGGTGAGATGCCACTGAAACGTTGCACCGTTTTCAGTTGGTTTTGACTGGTCAGCAACTTAATATTCAGTGGAGATCCACCGTAAGATGAAACGTAGTTCAGTGGTTTACTACCGAAATTTTACCTACGTTTTAGTGGCATCCAACCGAAATTTATTTATTTTTTCAGTAACTTATTGCCGACCACAAATTTAAACCAAGCTATTTTGATCTTACTCCCATGAAATGAACAAAATCAAGGTGACGCCCCTAAGCATGCGTCAATGCCTTACATTTCTTCCTTTCTCAGTTCAATCAAGCGAAACCAAGCCACGTGAGATTGCCATTGGTTTTGTTGACGATGATCACTATGTTCAGGTATGAATTTATTTGTTTACACAACATTGGTTAATTTTATATGCTATGCGTATATGAATGGATTTTTGTTTTGTAGGTTCATTTGTCTCCAGATCATCATATTCCACTAGTTTCTAGAATGTGGCATGAATAAAGTGACATATGCAATGTAACACATTTGTACTCGAGGTACCAAGTACGTGTGGATGCTTTTCAACAACTTCCAGGAGTGGAGAGCTACTACAGATACCGTCATCCTAATGACTGATGAAAATGCACCTGTTACATAATTGAGATTATAGATCTAATAATTCTATTTAATTTTTTTTCACATGTAACCTGAAAAGTACATCTTTGTGTGCATAGTCATTTAAAAGTCACTCTTTACAAGACAGAACGAAGTAAAAGAAGTGCCTGTTGCAATGTTCAAAGTAGAGAAGGATTTGACTATTTCTGGGAGCATAACTTACAGCCAACAAGTGGTTGGTGGATTTCTTCTATTGTTAAAATATGAAAAGTCTGTGGTGGCCAACTTCGAAGCTAAATCAGACACGCATATGTGAAGAATCTAGCCTCACTTGTCAGGTGATACCACCAGAATTGATAAGGGCAAGTTTCCCTTTCATCAAGCCCTTATTTTGAAAAATAAAAATAAAAGAAGGAATTATCTAATGTTCGAAGTAGAGCTACATAGCTGTCTATTAGGTCGGGATGATGAAGCTTCAGTAGTACCTCTGTGAATCCTCTTCATATCTAAAAATAAACAATATTAAGTACACACTTAGTAACGTATTCAGTACATAATCACTGAAAAACGGAAATAAATTCGGTGGACAATCGCTGAAAAAAGAACATATATTCGGTGGAGTACCACTGAAAAACCGAAAGAAATTTTGTGGGAGTCCCCTGAAAAATAGAAACAGATTCGGTGGACTACCAACGAAAAAAGGTAACAATTTTGGTGGTAACCCACCGAACTTAGGTTTGAATTCGGTGGACTACCACTGAAGCAATGTAATCATTTCGGTGGTAATCCACCGAAACTAGAATCCATTTTCGTAAAACCAGGTTCGAACTACCCAAAACGTTGAAATCAAAATCAAAATCAATATCAGACTTTGGCTTTTCAAAAGTGAAATCAAACGTAGGCTTAATCAACACTTAGAAACGTAAATATATAAATCATATTTGAAATCAAACCTTGAATAAGGATTTGTGAAAACTTGACCTTCAATGGCTTTTGGGTTTGCAGAGATGGAGATGGGTGTGATGGTTCTATTTTAGAGATGGGTTCGGGTTTGCTGAGTTGTGCAATGGGGTTCGATGGTGAGCAAAGATCTACGATGGCAAAGGGATGAGTTCTTCGATGGTTCTGCGATGGAGGTTGTTGTAAATGTGATAGGGTGTGCGATGGGGTGTGTCTGCAAGAGGAGAGAATTTTCGATGGGGTGGGGCTGGATATCAGATGGGGTGAGGTTTGATTTCAGATGGGGTGTGGCTAAAAGGGAAGGGGGTTTTCGATGGGTGGTTAGGGAATGGGGTTCATGAGGGCAATTTAGGGAAAAAAAAGGGGTTTAATGAGTAATTTGAAATTTTATTAAAATTTAGTGGGGTGTAAAGAGTAATTTATGGGGTTCATATAGAATTACCCTAAAAGAAAGGAATGAGAAAGGGATGGAGCTTGGGTTGGGCTATGAGCTTTAAAATTCTTTTTTGTAATAAAAAAATATATTGTAGTTTGAATTTTGTCAATTTTATATTTGTAGTTTTCAATTTTGCTAACTTTATTCTTGTAGTTTTCAATTTGAAGCAATTCAATGATATGATTCAATTTTTATTAAAATTCCTTCCAATTCCATTAAGTTTTGAATACTTGCACTCACGTAGAGGGGTATTTTGGCACTTTTGAGCCAAATTCTTTCCAATTCACCCAAATTTTAAGCTAGATATGTAAATTTTTCTAAAATCCTAACGCTCTATTTAGATGAGAGAAAATAACTCAGAATTTTGTTAAAAGTTAGGAATTTAAGAGGAGAAATTGACATTTCCTTTGTTTGGCAACTTAAGCGCGGAATTTATTAAATGACACGCAGAAAAACTCATGGAAATTGAGGCATCAAATTCCCGAATTTAATATCCACCAAAATGGACGTTATTTCACAATTTCCGTAGTGCCATACTAAATTCTGTCAGTTACAAAATTCGACAAACATAAATCCAAACATTGAAATCTTTAATTGCCATAAATTAAAATAATGGAAATCTAAATTCTATCATTTTATAATTCTATGTAATTTTCAATTCCTTCATCCAAACGAAGGGTAAATGTCCTTTAAAGTGAATTGAAATATCCCTACACATGGTCACAAATTATGGTTGACAATGGGTCGTGTCGTGTCACGTTCGTGTCGTGTCAGACTTTTAAATGTGTCAAGAATCCTCAACCCATACACAACCCATTTATTAGACGTGTCAAGAATTCCAAACCCAAACACGACCCATTTATAAAGGGGTTGACACAAGAAGACCTGTGTAATCTGTTTCCTAAACAAGTTGAGTTAGGTCACAAACAAGTAACTTGCTTAGTAACCTGTTTAAAAACCTGCTTAAAATCTAAAATGTTCTATTTCTTTTTGGATGAAAGTAGCCGTGTTATAAACATTCCAAAATCACACTTAAATTAAAAAACTTCAAATACAATTTCATCAGTTCACTCCAAATCAAACATAAAACTTTGATTAAATTACAACATAAAATACAAATGACATTCCCAGCTCCAATAATATTCAACCACCAACATTGATGGTATTTGAACACTCAACAGATTGGGAGGGATTCATGTCTATCTTGCTAATATCCTTAGTCAATTCTTCCAAGTTTTGTGCTAAAGTGGAATTTTCTACAATTCAAACCATAAGGCTTCAGCAAATAATCATAAAAAGAAACAAATACAATAAATAAGATGATAGGAAGTATACCTTGTTCACCAAATATCCAGTCTTGTGTACAAATGAGTGCCTCAACATTTTCAGGTTTGAGAGCACTATGATACTGATCAAGCACTCTACTACCAACACTAAATGATGTCTCAGAAGCTACTGTAGATATTGGAATAGATAGTACATCACAAGCCAAAATACATAGGTCAGGATATCAAAATTGGTTTGCTTTTCAAAAATCAAGAACATTCAAATTTATCTTCCTGTCTACTTTAGGCTCATCCAAATACAATTGTAGCTGAGACTTTTGGCAAGAAGTGGTAGACTGCTCACTTAGGTATCAAATTCCTAATAATATAACAACATTAATATTGTGGGAGCCAAATTGAAACGACCCGACCCAATTTCCACTTTGAAATCCGGGCCGAATCCTGTTTAAAATTGACACCTGGTAACTGTGGGTCGTAAATGATCAAATGGCCCTGAAAAACAATAACATAAACCCTAAGGCCTTAACTCGTGGCTGCGCCTGGTAACGGTAGGCTGCCTACGTACCCTTACTGAGGGATCAAGCCACGCGTAGTTCTTTCCTCTGTTCTTGACCTGCAACTAGTTTGTTATTTTGTAACTGGTTTAATTATCCGTAAAACATACTCTAGGGCTGACCTTTCTGGAGTATCCGGGACTCCGTTTTACGATCCGTCAAATACTATACGATCCTGGAAATACCTAGATCAACATACTTGGAAAATGACTACGATCCAACGGTTCAAACGTATAGAACCCGGAAATCGCATACTAGGCGAGATCCGTTCAGGGTTCAAACGTTATCCGAATTAAGATCCGCGAAATCCTATGCGCTCGTGAGGACTAGGAGATTATTCTAGGACTGACTGTGGTCCCCACCCTGATGCTAACGCGCCGCCACACGCGCTGGCAGCGCTGGTTGCTCGAAGCGATAACGCTTCGCTGGAAAAACTCAACATCTAGGCTCAAGACTCCTATCCTAGGTAAAACACCCTATTTGGAAAAACTTTTGTTCTTGGACCTACCCCAAAAAGTGGCCGGAAATGGCCGGAACAGTGACTCGAAAACCGGCTGAAACCTAACTCGTAAATCGAGCTATTTACGCTAGAAATTTCTGAAATCCTACCCAACCAGCAGCTAGAGCATGAAAAATAGCTAGAAAACCATACCTCACTCGTCCGATTTGGTGGCCGGACGACGGAGAACGAACGCTTGGAAGTTCTGTCAAAAACTGTCCAGCGGCGCCTGTTTCGTGGCTGTTTCCGGAGACTATGGCGGCGGATCGTGGCGGCGAAGGGCTGGGGTTGGAAGAGGGAAGTTTCGTGGTTCATTTGGCACTGGTATTGCCTGAATCGGGGGTCGGAGCTGAGAGGAATCAGCTCAGAAAGTCGGCTCCTTCCCCTCCCGAATCCAAAAGATTCTGGGTTTATAAAAATTGAAGTTCGAGATATTTACGGTTATGCCACTGAACTTCTTTTGCTCGTAACTCCTTCGTTACAACTCCGTTTTGAGTCCACTACATGTCTACGGACTCATCTTGCAACGGTATAACTGAAATCCCCAAATTCTTTCCCGGTCAAAAAGTCAACTTTTAAACTAATAAAATATTCTAGGGGTATTTTAGTCTTTTTCTCAAATAAATTAATAATTAAATATTAATTTTGGGTTTGGGTTATTACACAAATTATATCAAAACCCTAGGTCAAATATTTCCTTCCATTTAGGGATTATTTGACCTAATTGAGAGTTACTCAATTTAATTGGGGGTTACCCAATTAAATTGGGAGTTACCTAATTAAATTAGGATTGATTGGATTCCTACCACAATTAGGGATTTGATTAATTCAAATAAATCAAATCCCTAATTAATCAAATCTCGCCAAATCGGGGAGGAATAATTTCTTTCCATTTACGGAATTATTCCTCTGAAACCCTAACCTCTTAGGCCCCTATAAATAGATGGCTACACACAATGGTTGAGATACGTCTAAAATTCCTACTGAAACTCTGCAGAAATAATCCCTCACAAACCCTAGCCGCCACACTCTCTCTCCCTCCTACACAAGGCTCCGGCCACCATTCTGGCCACTCGGTTTACACCTTACACATATATCTATATACCCTATTAGCTATTGTTTTCTATACGAATCAATTGAACTAACTTAGGCATCGAAGGGCCTTTGGCCAACACCCCCTGGGTGTGGTCCTCTTATTTGTTCTATTTTGCAGGGAGAAAGAGGTGGTGAAGAAGAAAAGGGAATCTTTCCAATCGAATATTCTCGTGGGAAAAATCACTCCCACAAATATTAGCACATAGTCAAATATAAACTGAACTTTGATTATGAACAAAATAAATAGTTTTTTACCTTTCGTCCAAAAAAGAAAGAAAAGCTTTTTACCTTCATAACATCCATGCATTCCTTAGAAACCATGTCGTCAACATGAGAAGAAACACCATTTGAAGTACTTGATGTACTAGCAACTAATTCAGATTTAGAATGTATTTTCATGTACAAATCAAAGAGAGAAACCAGCATATCATGAACTTTAGCCATTTCTTGGGAGTTTGTACCATACAACCTTTTATAACAAAATTC